TAAGCCATATACAGATTTATATGTATTATTTATCCCGCCAACACAGCCGTATGTTGCCAAATACATACCTCTTACACATGTATATAGCGGAAAAAAAATATATATACTCCTCCCTGGGCAAACATCTGCCGTATTCTCACACAGAGACCGCTATTTCATATTGAGGCAGTGCTCGGTCAGGCGCAGAAACACACACACCAGCTAACATTGTATATGCGCATATAAATATTTCGTACTTTGTTTTTTTTTGTTGTGTTTTTCTTTTTTTTTTGGGTGCACAGGAAGCCTATGCACAGATTTGCGAAAGAAACTTTCAAATGAGTTTCCATTGAAACGCCCTAATGCCAAATTAAGGCATGGCCCACTCCTCATCGGGCTTATATGGCAGAAAATGAGACGTCAGACTGTCACAGGCACACACACATCACATCACATACCGCAACACACACATCACATCACATACACACACTCAGTCAGTCAGCAGGAAAATTTAGTAAAAAAACAACACCAACAACAACAAAAAAGAATGGCAATGAAGAGAAACGAGAACAGCTTATAATGAACGAGCCAAGAGCTTAAGCACCATTGGAAAAAGTTTCAAGTTTTTGTCACATTACTCATACGACATGTTGGCTTCCAATCACTTTGCACCAGGTTTTTGCTAGCATCCCAACTGCAGAAACCTAGATACATAGATACCTATACTATATAAGCGGGAGATTGATGAACCCGAAAAAAGGAAAGAAAACCGAGTCAAGGCCATTCTATGTATTTTTGTTAAATTGTTCATTTCTCGGGGTAATTTACACTCGAGCATCTGCTGCTGGGTGTCGCTAAAAGTTTTAATGATGTGTCAGTGTCAGATAGGGATGTATCGTGTTTGAGAGACTTTTGAAAGGGTTGGCTTGGACTCCGTGAGTCCATGAGTGCACCAGTCCCTTCCTAACTCACTTAACTTTTCTCAATAAGCAAATTAAAAATGCGTGAAATGTAAACGGAAAACGAAAACGAAGGAAAACCTCAAAGGGAAAAATAAATTGAGTAACCCAGCCAGCTTCCCAGCCTCCCTTAGTTTACTTTCATTCATCTAATTCCACTTAAGTCGAATTTTTTCGTATACATATTTATTTAATCTCTGGCCAGAAAAGGGGACAACCTCGGTCGAATGGGAATCGATGGGTAAATACAATTCCTCTTGGCCCGAAGCACAGGTCTCTACCAGAGACTCTCTTTCTCTGCTTTTCCGTTTGCGTCTCTTGTATAAACACCTTAATCACATTTCACTTCAAAGACCAACAATTTGGCCGCTGTTTATGCTCCTGGCCGACTTTGTTTATACATACATGTATATGGGCCAATGCTTCGAGTGCTAGTCCATATAGCAAATGATGTGTCCATGAGACGCACCCACACATGGTGTTCTTGTTGTTTATATAGTTTCTGTCTGTTGGCTGACAATTAATTGTCCATTCATTTTAATTAAGCCCCATAATTTGGGTTTTTGGGCCAAGACAAATGCCCAACAACAATGCCGGCTAATTGCGATGAAGGGTTTTGCGCCGAGACAGCAAAACCAGTTAACAGAACATTCTGTTCTCTTCTGGGGTTCACGAAGATATTTCAATTAGCAAATGACACACAGGCATCGATTCTCGGCAGTTTGCGACATCAAAATGAACTTAACTCGGTTTGCTGTGCTCCGCTGTGCCTCGCAGTGCCTTGCCGTGCTTATGATTTATCTGCGGTATACTTTGAGGCGCCTCATAAAGGACTCTCGCACACAGATACAAATATCTGTCAGGATTCGGATACAGATACTCGTGCTAACGAGGCTAGCTGTGCTGGGCAGCGGCAACAGCTTCAACTTGTTGACGTTGGCTCCCAGCAACATCCACAAGTAGAGCTGGTGGGCGTCGTAAAGGACGAAAAGCGAGCCAACGAAAAAAAAGGAAATCACCAGGCATAGGGAGCCAGCAAATTGTTGAATGTACATGTACACCGTGTCTGTGTGTGGGCGAATTTGTATTACTGTAGAGCCCCCGTAGGTCAAACTTGGGTGGGTTTTGGACATATCCTGGGACAAGGTCTTCGTTAAGAAGTATTCCCAAATAACTTACAGCAAAGCGTTATATTTAAATTTCAGAAAATAGTAAAGGTTATCCTTTAAAAGTTCAATATTTTTGGAGTTATCCTGTAGTTTCTTTCTTCTCACTCGCTCTACATACCGAAACCGAAAATGACTCGGGACGAGAGACTTTGAGTGTTGGACTAACTGTTTTGCGGCATGCCAGTGCCCAAAAGTGCGAGGGAGACGGAGACTGGGGAGTGGGGGCGTTCGCGGGACTAGTAGGGAGGGAGGGAGGGAGGAGGAGACTAAAATACAGGATACGAAACGAGAGGAGCTGAGAAAGAACGAATACCGGAACGGAACAGGCCTGCTGCTGGTCCTGCTGAAACGTTAAAGAGCAAATAAATGTCTCGCAGCAAACAAACGAAAAAGATGAAGCAGAGCAAATGAGGAAAGGGAGGAAGCGGATGAAGAGTAAAGAAGAAGCAGAAGGAGCCACAGAACTCCACACAAACACACACACACACAGCTTTACGAAAAACACACACACAGACACAGAAGAGCCTACGTGGATGCTGCTCAAAAAGTTAAACATGGTTGCTTATTACCGTTACATTCGGAGACTACTCCAAGGGAGTTGAAAAGAGATGGTAAGTGAGGTGGCCAAAGAGGGACGGTAAGAGCTTTCCTTTACTGTTTTTTACTTTCTTCCTTTTTTTTTTTTACTGTTTTTACTCCTTGAGCCACCGTGGCGAATTTTATGTTGCTAATTTTCGTTTCATTCGAAATTTGATTGTTTTTATTTAATTTTGCGCTGGCTTCTTTTTTTATTGATGTTGTATGGACCATCTCACCTTGTTGCTGTTGCTGTTGTCGTTGCTGTGTTGGCTGTTATTTTTGCTTAGCACTTTATTTGTTGCACACACATTATTTTTGTCGGTTTCTCTCTGGCTATTTTGTATAATTTTTTTTTAGTAAACTCACGTTGTTATTTTTATTTATTTTTTAGCTTGGCAGGCTGTTGAATCTTTTATGAGCCCCCACACTAACACACTGACATTCAAATCGCACGCACGCACACACACACACACTACCACTAGCACAGTGATGTCCTTTTTTCACGTTTGAATTTTTTTCCGCTCCGAAAACTTCCGCTGACCGACCGGTTGTGTTGTGCCCGGTTCGTACATGCGTTACCGATTGGGAGAGTCGACGTCGACTGAATTACCCTTGGCATCAGTTCTGTTCTCTGCCACTCTGCCGCTGCCTCAGTCGCTGCCACTGCCAGCGATGGCGTATTCTGCTGACTGAGCGTTAACAGAGCCATGTTACGCCCCCGTAATAGGTCAGTGCTAATAACAGAGACACCTGCATCACTGAATTTATCCAATCTGGCTAGTCTTAGCCTGTTATTTATATGCTGTTGCATATTTCAAGCATCTGTTTTCTATCACAACTTTGTTGCTGTTCTACGCAAGTGTGTGAGACCAGCGGGTGGGAGTGTGTGCGTGTACAGGTGTTGTTTAGTGAGTGGGTGGTGTGTAGTAAAAATGGGATGATGGGGGGTTGGCCCACAGTTTACGAGCCATACTGCTAAGTAGTCTGTAGTTTTTGTTACTGCACGAGGAAAAATTAAACTATTAAATTTTAGCAAAAAAATTAAAAAAAAAAACTAAGATTCTTTCATTCAACTGAAGTAAAAAGGTGGGCAATAAATTATTACCAGGCTTACTAGGCGTATGAGTAATATTCGAATGGAATTTTATGCAAAAAATCCAATGGACACGTTGTTTTTGTACTAAAAACTAAGAATTTTCCTGCTTTTTGGCAAAAAACTCCTAATAAAGGGTCTGGCATGCAACCAACAGTGCGTATACGTAATATGTGAAATATAGTTTATGGAACCCACACTGCGTATACTTCATGTCTTTGATGCTTATGGTAAAAACTACTTTATTTTTTCAGTGTACAATGTGTTTTGTTTGTGGAGAGCACATTTTATGGTCCTGCTTCCGCTGCCCAAGCGGAAAACTCTTACTTTATGCTAAGCGTTTCGGTGTGTTATTATAGACAAGCATCCTTGCCCTTCTTCTGTGGTCCTGATTTTATGAGTTTTCTTTTTTTTAAGCACAAAACTATGGGAATATTTTTCATTTAGCATTCAAGCACAGGAGCATACTGGCTGCCACACAAAAGAGCACATGTTTCCGACGAGGAGCCTACCTAAAATGGCCGCCCCGCGCAGCCTCCAAAACAACTTTGTTGTGGTGCGTAACAACAACACACTCGCAGGCAGTCTAAGTTGGCTAATGGCCAGGGGAGGGGTATGGGGGGTCCGGGCCAAATGTATCCAGGGAATACATTTAAATTTACATAGCACGCCCGCTTGTATTTGTTCAATGTGTTTTCTTGGGAGAACACGCGCCATTTAATTTGGAATATTACTTCTTTTTCCGGATGGGAACCTCTGAGCTCGAGACGAGCCTAAGTCGCTTTTGATTCCGATGCCCGACTAGGCACGTTATTAATATTCGCCAATATCCGTGGCACGCAGCGACCTTACCGCAGTAACACCTGCGAGCGCTTTGGGGCTCCAAGTGCGACTGAAATCGAAAGTGATCGGGAGGGCCGGGGGGAGTGAGAACGGCAACAGCAGGCGCAACAGCAATGCGGCAGCATTGTGAGCCGAGGAGAGCCTTGAAAACCCGGCTAACAGAGAGCTTAACAGCGGCAGCTACAAAAGTTGGCCAATAGGTCAGTTACACTGCAGTGGCCAGAAAACAGGACCTGGCTTTTGACGCAGCGCTCGGTCAAACTGGCTGTTAAATATTCAGACGCCTCTCCACAGGCATGCAGAGAAATTTCAACAATTTACACTTGAAGAATTATTTTATTTAAAAATAATAAAAATAATTATTAAAAGACGACCCTTTTATAGTTGTGGTTCTTCGTTGAGAACGACAGGCTCTCCGTCTAATTTTCGAATGGTGGGCAGTCGCTTGATGCATTCCGCCCGCCAAGAGGGCTCGTCCAATCCCTCGGATAGGGGATTTCCCACCACCACCAAGTCTTCTAGAGACTCTATTTCTGCCAGGCGATTAAACTCCGACCAATCCTTGATTAAATTGTTGCTAATATACAACACTTTCAGGCTTTTGAGTCCTGTCAGGCCCTTGATTTTTTCTATGAGATTGTAGCTAAGCCAGAGTTCCTCCAGGGTCTCAGCCACAGCTTCCTAGAAAGGTTAGTAAGCATAGGTATTAAAGGAATAAAATGGAATACTATCTCACCAATCCAGAAATCTGCTTTATATAGTTACGTGACAAGGACAGCACCTTGAGACACTTCATGCCCGACAAACCGAATATCTTCTCAATCATATTGGTGGATAAACTTATCCTCCTAGGAAGGAAGGGTTTCCGTTAAATAACACACTTCAGTGGAGGCTAACTCGCGGAAAACTCACTCGCATTGTACCAGCGTTCCCAGGGTGGCATCCATTTTCTCGATGGGCGGCCACTGGAACTGCAGATCAATGGTCTTGGCTGTGAGGGAATTCTGCTGCTCTCGCTCCTCCCAGCGCTTCAGTGCCTCCTTAATTGTGGTGGCTTTGGACATCTTGTTGGCCCCGAAAAACTTTCAACCAATGAGCAAGAAAATTTTGGACAAAAATTAAACAAACTTTATGGTTGCCAAGGTGAGGCACGTTAGAGACGCTGCTGCACAATGCAGGGTGAAAGTTTGTTAGTTTGCAACACCGTAGAATAAACAATTTCGTGTTCCAGGAGAGGCACTCAACGAAGTGTGTGAACATCAACAAAAGTGAACCAAAATATTATTTTTTTTTTTATTATCAATCAATCAATAGTTATATTTAAAATCTGTCCGGAGTTATGGACAATAATTCAATTTTATAATGGGACCTAAACTTAATGAAATATTGAGTAGTACAATGTTTGCTTATCCTAGGAAACTAATTTTAACAGTAAACCTTAGCGATAGAAATTAAGTTATATTGTCGGGCCCTTTAGTGGGCCTTGGTTTTACAACTGCAGCTTAGTCCCGTTCGCCCGAGTGGCAGAGGTCCAGTGGGTGGGTCCGTTTCAGCCTCCTTGTGGTGTAGCTGTTGTCCAGAAGATTGATGGCCTCAGGGTTAGGATGTCGGTCCAGCCTTTCCACGTACCTATTGGCGAATCGCTGAACTTCTTCGATCACATATGGGACTCTCAGTTGGGCGTGGATTGTCGCATTGTCGTGGAACGGAAATATTTTTTTTAAATATATTCATATTTTTGAATAAAGTTTTTTATTGTTTGGCAAAAGGACTAAACTTTTTAAAAATATATTTATTAGCATTAAAAAAACAATGAACATTTAATGGTATGAATCATAACTGGTGATTCGAAAAAAGCAGAAGCGGACAAACAAAATATCGAATATGATTTGCGAACACATGTGCCTGTGGTTACTCAATCAATAAAATCGGACCCAAGTCAAGATGTAATATAGGGCTCGCTCTGGTTCCTTTTGATTCCAATTTTCATACATCCATCGCCACCCACACTCCCTGGAGAATGGAAAGCTGATGTGCAAATCGCCAATCTACGCATTTTAACTTGATCACTCAACACATTTGCATAAAAATGGACTTGATCTGCTTGATGATGGGCAGGAGGTATCCCATATCCTTAGAAGTAAATCTTCATTCCTCTGCCAGTGCGATTTATTTTCATAAGTGGCTTGGTGATGTGGCTTCCCTCCCGCCTATTTGGCTTTTGTTTTGGGACATAGTAACAATGCTTATCAGCTAAAGTTGGATGGAGAAAACCAAAAACCCTGAACGTCGTATATTTATTGCACTTTTTGAACATTGATATGCCGTCTGGATCATCCGCTATTTAAAATAATGTCCCCATTATCTCTTAACTTTTCAAAGAAATGTCATCATTCTAAAATTCCCAGTTTTAATTGAAACTTTCCCACTTATTTGGAAATTTACAAAAATCGAATAAATAATTTCAAGTTTGGTTTTAATGAAATCTTAGGTCACAGCTTTATTTACCCGCTTATCAGTTGCATTATGTTTAACAAGATTTAGTGTAAAATAAAATAATATTTTATAATGTCACACTTATTATTATACCCTTGCAGAGGGTATTATAATTTTGGTCAAATGTGTGCAACGCAGTGAAGGAGACATCTCCGACCCTATAAAGTATATATATTCTTGATCAGGATCGCCTCCTGAGTTGATATGAGCATGTCCGTCTGTCCGTCTCTCAGTTTTAAAGCTATCGTCTCGAAACTTTGCACACACCCTTCTTTCCTTTGCACGCAGGATATAAGTCGGAACGGCCCGGATCGGCCGACTATATACTATAGCTGCCATATAACTGATTGATCGGAAATGGTATAACTTTGACGTTTTTAAAGTTAGAGAGTTCAAATTCGACATGAGACCATTTTTTGGCAAAACATTACGACATGCTAAATTTCATAAGGATCGGCCGACTATATCCTATAGCTGCCATATAACTGAACGATCGGAAATGATTCAACTTTCGTGTTTTTGAAGATAGAAGTTTGGGACATTTTTAGGCTTTGTATTATAATAAATTGGGTTATATTATCATATTCTTATAAGGATCGGCCAACTATATCCGATGTTTGCGATATATATCCGGTTTTAACTGCAAGGGTATATAAACTTCGGCTCCGCCCGAAGTTAGCTTTCCTTTCTTGTTTTTTACTATTTTTATCATTCCTGAAAAACAAGAAAATTGTCCTTAATTGAACAACTTCATACATAAAAAGAATAATGTGGTATACATATATGCAGCATTTTAATGTTTTTTCCAAGAAGCAGACGATAAGCTTCGGGCAAAACCCATTTGATAAAGAAGCCATCGGCGGCTATTTAAGGGGAGGCATTGCAGTGACATTCACAAAGTTCTCTTCGCAATTAAACCATGCAGAAGCACTTGTCTTTAGGAATTCTTCTCGTCGCATCCTTTCTAGGATGGAGCGGTGCTGAAAACTGTTATGCTCCTCATAGCTGCGTTCCTCAGGATTATTGTTCTATAAGGGGACAACCTGTCACAGTTGATATTAAAAAATGTGAGACCAATGAAGTATGCTGCAGATTAACAAAAGTAAGTATTTAATTCAGAATCCAGTAGGAAAAATTATCTTTAATTGTTTCCTGGTCTTTATCACAGCCTTCAATACCCTCCTCTACGACTCCCTGCTCCAAAACGACTCCCAGCCCCAAAACGCCTCACAGCCCTACTTCCTGCGATACTACGACTGCCAGGCCCAATACAACTCCCAGCACCACTACGACTCCCAGGCCCACCACGACACCGCGCAGTAAGCAGGCCTATGATTGCGGTACCAGCAACCCCAGAGGTATAGGCAATCTAGCGCTAGATACAAGTGACTCTAGACCTGGAGAATTCCCCTGGATGGTGGCTTTATATTCCAATGAGAAGTTCATTGGAGGGGGATCTCTAATCGCTATGGATGTCGTTCTCACCGCAGCACATATTCTTGAGAATGTGACCGCTGCCAATACAAAGATCCGAGCTGGTGATTGGGATTTAATATCGGACCGAGAACCGTTTACACCTCAACAGCGATTGGTGAAGAGCATCATAAGACACGAAGATTTTGATTATGAAACTGGGGCAAACGATTTGGCCCTTGTCATTTTGGCCCAGCCCTTCAAGCAGGAGGATCACATCCAGACCATCTGTTTGCCCACTCCAGATGAAGACACAGCGAACAAATGCATAGTAGCCGGTTGGGGCGTGAAAAACTTCGGTGACAAATGTTTATCAAATGTTCTGAAGGCAATTGAGCTTCCCTTAGTGTCCCAGGATGAATGCCAGGATAAGCTGAGGAAAACGGAGTTGGGACCTGATTTTGAATTGGATCCAAGTCTAATGTGCGCCGGAGGAGAAGAAGGGCTCGATTCCTGCACGGGAGATGGTGGTTCTGCCATATTCTGTGAGATGGACTACTACAGGAACCGCTACATACAGGTTGGAATCGTCAACTGGGGTATGGAGTGCGGCAAGAAGGACACTCCCGGGGTCTACACGAATTTAGAAAAGTTCAATGACTGGATTTATAAGCAATTAGAAGCCCTTCCAGCCATCCAGCACCCAAGGAGAGGAGAATACAAACAATTTTAACCGAGTGTCAACTATTAATTTAATTGACATGTGAATTATTTCTTGAAATACATTCATATTTTTATATGAACCAAAATATTCGGACATCTAAGAACTTTTCTAGTTTTACCCCAAAAAGTAGGCAACAAAATGTTTTGTAAAAATACAATATTGTATTTCAAAAAGGTTATGGGAAAAGGATTAAGATAAGTCGCTTATTTTATACAGAGGAGCGGGATGCCCAACAGGTAGAACCGAATCACTTAGCCAGCTACAGCCGCCGTACAGATTAACGACGATCCGTCTTGCCCGTACCGCGCTTGCCGGAATACAAATGCTTGGGCATCTTGGTGCCGATGAAACGATCCGCCTCGCCCTTGAGACCCATCTTTGTCACCTTCTTGGCAATGTCGCGCTTGGCCATTTGTTGCGCCTTCTTGCGGATGGCCACATTCTTGATGCCCAGGGTGTCGCGGGCAGGCGCACGCTTCAGTGGCTGGCCAGTCTTCTTGACAACCGCGGAGGACTCCTTGTCGAGCAGTATCTGCTTGGGCAGTTTCTTTGAGCCGACGGCCACCTGGCCACGACGCAGATCCACCACAGACTTGGTGAAGTTGGCGGTCTCGCTGCCAGACATGTCCACGCCAAGACCCTCCATGGTCTCCACCAGTTTGTTGACGGAACGGTCGCGGACCTTGGGCTGTTTGTGACGCGGAATAACCGGCTTGTTCTTCCTGGAGGACAGACGCTTCTCGTCGCGCAGCTCGAAGCGCTTGCCTCGGATCTGCTTGGCCATCTCGCGGATCTCCTTGAGCGTTTCGTCCATGGACATATCGGGCAATGTGTACACGCCGCTGGACTCCCGCAGTCCCTCTTCGCGTTCCAGCTCCTCCAGCTTCTCGAAGATATCGGGATCGATGTAGTCGGCAATGTTGCGACCCTCCCAGAACTCTGGGATAACGTCGTAGCGCTCCTCCTCGGGGATCTCGCTGTAGTTCTTCTTGAGGTCCAGCGTGTAGTCGTCGCCCATCTCCTCCTCAATCTCCTTCTCCAATTTCTTCTAGCGCTCCGCTTTGGCAGCGTTTTGTTGGAGGCGGGTCAGAGCCTGTTCTGGGATGCATGGAGCACGAACCTTTTCATCGCGCGGCGCCGGCATTGCTACGTGCAGGCGGTTGAGGATGTTATCGACCTTCTTTGTGCGCATCTTTTGGTCCACGCGGTATGACAGCAGGCGCTCGCAAGCCTCTGTTTTCACTTCCATAACGCCAGTCTCCTGGACCGTCGACATCAACATGACGGGCACGCTCTTATCCTCCTGCAGTTTGGTGATGATTTGTCTCCTCTCCTCCGGCAAATCCTCCGGCGTCAGAATGTCAATCTTGTTAATGGCCAAGATCAAAGGCTTGTTGGTGAACAGAGGCTTGATGCTCTCGAAGAGCTTGACCTGTTCCTCCAGCGAATGGCCGCACTGCTCGGATATGTCCATGAAGTACAGTACACAGGCGCGCAGATGAGCCAGCGCTGTGATGGCCTGCATTTCGATAACGTTGCGCTCCTCCAGTGGATGATCCAGAATACCGGGTGTGTCGATCACCTGCCAGCGCAGATATTTGTAATCTGTGTGTCCCAGGCCATATCTTAGAAAATATTCATCCGATTCTTGAACGGAATACCTTAAACGATTTGTGGATCGATTCTCCATAAATCTGCATCAAAATCTGGGACCAAAATATTTTTAAGATTTTTTGCCAAATTTTCTGGGCTGTCCCCTTCAAAATGTGCAAAATGCATGGGGAGCCCCATATGACCCACTGCGAAGGCCATATCTTAGGAAATATTCATCCGATTCTTGAACGGAATACCTTAAACGATTTGTGGATCGATTCTTCATAAATCCGCATCAAAATCTGGAAATAAAATATTATAAAGATTTTTGTCAAATTTTCTGGGCTGTCCCCTTCAAAATGTGCAAAATGCATTTGGAGCCCCATATGACCCACTGCGAAGGCCATATCTTAGGAAATATTCATCCGATTCTTGAACGGAATACCTTAAACGATTTGTGGATCGATTCTCCATAAATCTGCATCAAAATCTGAGAATGAAATATTTTAAAGATTTTTTGTCAAATTTTTTGGGCTGTCCTCTTCAAAATGTGCAAAATGCATGGGGAGCCCCATATGACCCACTGCGAAGGCCATATCTTAGGAAATATTCATCCGATTCTCCATAAATCTGCATCAAAATCTGGGACCAAAATATTATAAAGATTTTTTGCCAAATTTTCTGGGCTGTCCCCTTCAAAATGTGCAAAATGCATGGGGAGCCCCATATGACCCACTACGAACGCCATATCTTAGGAAATATTCATCCGATTCTCCATAAATCTGCATCAAAATCTGGGACCAAAATATTTTTAAGATTTTTTGTCAAATTTTCTGGGCTGTACCCTTCAAAATACCCTTCAATGTACCCTGAAAAAATTTTGCCCACTGGGCCTTTTTCCTTAAATCCGCCACTGTGTCGGGCCCTTTAGTGGGCCTTGTTGGTTTTACAACTGCAGCTCAGTCCCGTTCGCCCGAGTGGCAGAGGTCCAGTGGGTGGGTCCGTTTCAGCCTCCTTGTAGTGTAGCTACAAGGAGTGCCTGGACAACTCCAGAAGATTGATGGCCTGAGGGTTAGGATGTCGGTCCAGCCTTTCTACGTACCTATTGGAATCGCTGAACTTCTTCGATCACATATGGGACTCTCAGTTGGGCGTGGATTGTCGCATTGTCGTGGAACGGAAAATTTTTTGAAATATATTCATATTTTTGAATAAAGTTTTTTATTGTTTGGCAAAAGGACTAAACTTTTTAAAAATATATTTATTAGCATTAAAAAAACAATGAACATTTAATGGTATGAATCATAACTGGTGATTCGAAAAAAGCAGAAGCGAACAAACAAAATATCAAATATGATTTGCCTTTATGATGTGCCTGTGGTTACTCAATCAATAAAATCGGACCCAAGTCAAGATGTAATATAGGGCTCGCTCTGGTTCCTTTCGATTCCAATTTTCATACATCCATCGCCACCCACACTCCCTGGAGAATGGAAAGCTGATGTGCAAATCGCCAATCTACGCATTTTAACTTTATTACTCAATAGGAGGTATGGGCAGGAGGTATCCCATATCCTTAGAAGTAAATCTTCATTCCACTGCCAGTGCGATTTATTTTCATAAGTGGCTTGGTGATGTGGCTTCCCTCCCGCCTATTTGGCTTTTGTTTTGGGACATAGTAACAATGCTTATCAGCTAAAGTTGGATGGAGAAAACCAAAAACCCTGAACGTCGTATATTTATTGCACTTTTTGAACATTGATATGCCGTCTGGATCATCCGCTATTTAAAATAATGTCCCCATTATCTCTTAACTTTTCAAAGAAATGTCTTCATTATAAAATTCCCAGTTTTAATTGAAACTTTCCCACTTATTTGGAAATTTACAAAAATCGAATAAATAATTTCAAGTTTGGTTTTAATGAAATCTTAGGTCACAGCTTTATTTACCCGCTTATCAGTTGCATTATGTTTAACAAGATTTAGTGTAAAATAAAATATTATTTTATAATGTCACACTTATTATTTTTTACTATTTTTATCATTCCGGAAAAACAAGAAAATTGTCCTTAATTTAACAACTTCATACATAAAAAGAATAATGTGGTATACATATATGCAGCATTTTAATATTTTTTCCAAGAAACAGACGATAAGCTTCGGGCAAAACCCATTTGATAAAGAAGCCATCGGCGGCTATTTAATGGGAGGCATTGCAGTGACATTCACAAAGTTCTCTTCGCAATTAAACCATGCAGAAGCACTTGTCTTTAGGAATTCTTCTCGTCGCATCCTTTCTAGGATGGAGCGGTGCTGAATACTGTTATGCTCCTAATAGCTGCGTTCCTCAGGATTATTGTTCTATAAGGGGACAACCTGTCACAGTTGATATTAAAAAATGTGAGACCAATGAAGTATGCTGCAGATTAACAAAAGTAAGTATTTAATTCAGAATCCAGTAGGAAAAATTATCTTTAATTGTTTCCTGGTCTTTTTCACAGCCTTCAATACCCTCCTGTACGCCTCCCAGCCCCAAAACGCCTCACAGCCCTACTTCCTGCGATACTACGACTGCCAGGCCCAATACAACTCCCAGCACCACTACGACTCCCAGGCCCACCACGACACCGCGCAGTAAGCAGGCCTATGATTGCGGTACCAGCAACCCCAGAGGTATAGGCAATCTAGCGCTAGATACAAGTGACTCTAGACCTGGAGAATTCCCCTGGATGGTGGCTTTATATTCCAATGAGAAGTTCATTGGAGGGGGATCTCTAATCGCTATGGATGTCGTTCTCACCGCAGCACATATTCTTGAGAATGTGACCGCTGCCAATACAAAGATCCGAGCTGGTGATTGGGATTTAATATCGGACCGAGAACCGTTTACACCTCAACAGCGATTGGTGAAGAGCATCATAAGACACGAAGATTTTGATTATGAAACTGGGGCAAACGATTTGGCCCTTGTCATTTTGGCCCAGCCCTTCAAGCAGGAGGATCACATCCAGACCATCTGTTTGCCCACTCCAGATGAAGACACAGCGAACAAATGCATAGTAGCCGGTTGGGGCGTGAAAAACTTCGGTGACAAATGTTTATCAAATGTTCTGAAGGCAATTGAGCTTCCCTTAGTGTCCCAGGATGAATGCCAGGATAAGCTGAGGAAAACGGAGTTGGGACCTGATTTTGAATTGGATCCAAGTCTAATGTGCGCCGGAGGAGAAGAAGGGCTCGATTCCTGCACGGGAGATGGTGGTTCTGCCATATTCTGTGAGATGGACTACTACAGGAACCGCTACATACAGGTTGGAATCGTCAACTGGGGTATGGAGTGCGGCAAGAAGGACACTCCCGGGGTCTACACGAATTTAGAAAAGTTCAATGACTGGATTTATAAGCAATTAGAAGCCCTTCCAGCCATCCAGCACCCAAGGAGAGGAGAATACAAACAATTTTAACCGAGTGTCAACTATTAATTTAATTGACATGTGAATTATTTCTTGAAATACATTCATATTTTTATATGAACCAAAATATTCGGACATCTAAGAACTTTTCTAGTTTTACCCCAAAAAGTAGGCAACAAAATGTTTTGTAAAAATACAATATTGTATTTCAAAAAGGTTATGGGAAAAGGATTAAGATAAGTCGCTTATTTTATACAGAGGAGCAGGTTGCCCAACAGGTAATATCGAATCACTTAGCCAGCTACAGCCGCCGTACAGATTAACGACGATCCGTCTTGCCCGTACCGCGCTTGCCGGAATACAAATGCTTGGGCATCTTGGTGCCGATGAAACGATCCGCCTCGCCCTTGAGACCCATCTTTGTCACCTTCTTGGCAATGTCGCGCTTGGCCATTTGTTGCGCCTTCTTGCGGATGGCCACATTCTTGATGCCCAGGGTGTCGCGGGCAGGCGCACGCTTCAGTGGCTGGCCAGTCTTCTTGACAACCGCGGAGGACTCCTTGTCGAGCAGTATCTGCTTGGGCAGTTTCTTTGAGCCGACGGCCACCTGGCCACGACGCAGATCCACCACAGACTTGGTGAAGTTGGCGGTCTCGCTGCCAGACATGTCCACGCCAAGACCCTCCATCGTCTCCACCAGTTTGTTGACGGAACGGTCGCGGACCTTGGGCTGCTTGTGACGCGGAATAACCGGCTTGTTCTTCCTGGAGGACAGACGCTTCTCGTCGCGCAGCTCGAAGCGCTTGCCTCGGATCTGCTTGGCCATCTCGCGGATCTCCTTGAGCGTTTCGTCCATGGACATATCGGGCAATGTATACACGCCGCTGGACTCCCGCAGTCCCTCTTCGCGTTCCAGTTCCTCCAGCTTCTCGAAGATATCGGGATCGATGTAGTCGGCAATGTTGCGACCCTCCCAGAACTCTGGGATAACGTCGTAGCGCTCCTCCTCGGGAATCTCGCTGTAGTTCTTCTTGAGGTCCAGCGTGTAGTCGTCGCCCATCTCCTCCTCGATCTCCTTCTCCAATTTCTTCTTGCGCTCCGCCTTGGCAGCGTTTTGTTGGAGGCGGGTCAGAGCCTGTTCTGGGATGCATGGAGCACGAACCTTTTCATCGCGCGGCGCCGGCATTGCTACGTGCAGGCGGTTGAGGATGTTATCGACCTTCTTTGTGCGCATCTTTTGGTCCACGCGGTATGACAGCAGGCGCTCGCAAGCCTCTGTTTTCACTTCCATAACGCCAGTCTCCTGGACCGTCGACATCAACATGACGGGCACGCTCTTATCCTCCTGCAGTTTGGTGATGATTTGTCTCCTCTCCTCCGGCAAATCCTCCGGCGTCAGAATGTCAATCTTGTTAATGGCCAAGATCAAAGGCTTGTTGGTGAACAGAGGCTTGATGCTCTCGAAGAGCTTGACCTGTTCCTCCAGCGAATGGCCGCACTGCTCGGATATGTCCATGAAGTACAGTACACAGGCGCGCAGATGAGCCAGCGCTGTGATGGCCTGCATTTCGATAACGTTGCGCTCCTCCAGTGGATGATCCAGAATACCGGGTGTGTCGATCACCTGCCAGCGCAGATATTTGTAATCTGTGTGTCCCAGGCCATATCTTAGAAAATATTCATCCGATTCTTGAACGGAATACCTTAAACGATTTGTGGATCGATTCTCCATAAATCTGCATCAAAATCTGGGACCAAAATATTTTTAAGATTTTTTGCCAAATTTTCTGGGCTGTCCCCTTCAAAATGTGCAAAATGCATGGGGAGCCCCATATGACCCACTGCGAAGGCCATATCTTAGGAAATATTCATCCGATTCTTGAACGGAATACCTTAAACGATTTGTGGATCGATTCTTCATAAATCCGCATCAAAATCTGGAAATAAAATATTATAAAGATTTTTTGTCAAATTTTCTGGGCTGTCCCCTTCAAAATGTGCAAAATGCATTTGGAGCCCCATATGACCCACTGCGAAGGCCATATCTTAGGAAATATTCATCCGATTCTTGAACGGAATACCTTAAACGATTTGTGGATCGATTCTCCATAAATCTGCATCAAAATCTGAGAATGAAATATTTTAAAGATTTTTTGTCAAATTTTTTGGGCTGTCCTCTTCAAAATGTGCAAAATGCATGGGGAGCCCCATATGACCCACTGCGAAGGCCATATCTTAGGAAATATTCATCCGATTCTCCATAAATCTGCATCAAAATCTGGGACCAAAATATTATAAAGATTTTTTGCCAAATTTTCTGGGCTGTCCCCTTCAAAATGTGCAAAATGCATGGGGAGCCCCATATGACCCACTGCGAACGCCATATCTTAGGAAATATTCATCCGATTCTCCATAAATCTGCATCAAAATCTGGGACCAAAATATTTTTAAGATTTTTTGTCAAATTTTCTGGGCTGTACCCTTCAAAATACCCTTCAATGTACCCTGAAAAAATTTTGCCCACTGGGCCTTTTTCCTTAAATCCGCCACTGTGTCGGGCCCTTTAGTGGGCCTTGTTGGTTTTACAACTGCAGCTCAGTCCCGTTCGCCCGAGTGGCAGAGGTCCAGTGGGTGGGTCCGTTTCAGCCTCCTTGTAGTGTAGCTACAAGGAGTGCCTGGACAACTCCAGAAGATTGATGGCCTGAGGGTTAGGATGTCGGTCCAGCCTTTCTACGTACCTATTGGAATCGCTGAACTTCTTCGATCACATATGGGACTCTCAGTTGGGCGTGGATTGTCGCATTGTCGTGGAACGGAAAATTTTTTGAAATATATTCATATTTTTGAATAAAGTTTTTTATTGTTTGGCAAAAGGACTAAACTTTTTAAAAATATATTTATTAGCATTAAAAAAACAATGAACATTTAATGGTATGAATCATAACTGGTGATTCGAAAAAAGCAGAAGCGAACAAACAAAATATCAAATATGATTTGCGAACACATGTGCCTGTGGTTACTCAATCAATAAAATCGGACCCAAGTCAAGATGTAATATAGGGCTCGCTCTGGTTCCTTTCGATTCCAATTTTCATACATCCATCGCCACCCACACTCCCTGGAGAATGGAAAGCTGATGTGCAAATCGCCAATCTACGCATTTTAACTTTATTACTCAATAGGAGGTATGGGCAGGAGGTATCCCATATCCTTAGAAGTAAATCTTCATTCCACTGCCAGTGCGATTTATTTTCATAAGTGGCTTGGTGATGTGGCTTCCCTCCCGCCTATTTGGCTTTTGTTTTGGGACATAGTAACAATGCTTATCAGCTAAAGTTGGATGGAGAAAACCAAAACCCTGAACGTCGTATATTTATTGCACTTTTTGAACATTGATATGCCGTCTGGATCATCCGCTATTTAAAATAATGTCCCCATTATCTCTTAACTTTTCAAAGAAATGTCTTCATTATAAAATTCCCAGTTTTAATTGAAACTTTCCCACTTATTTGGAAATTTACAAAAATCGAATAAATAATTTCAAGTTTGGTTTTAATGAAATCTTAGGTCACAGCTTTATTTACCCGCTTATCAGTTGCATTATGTTTAACAAGATTTAGTGTAAAATAAAATATTATTTTATAATGTCACACTTATTATTTTTTACTATTTTTATCATTCCGGAAAAACAAGAAAATTGTCCTTAATTTAACAACTTCATACATAAAAAGAATAATGTGGTATACATATATGCAGCATTTTAATATTTTTTCCAAGAAACAGACGATAAGCTTCGGGCAAAACCCATTTGATAAAGAAGCCATCGGCGGCTATTTAATGGGAGGCATTGCAGTGACATTCACAAAGTTCTCTTCGCAATTAAACCATGCAGAAGCACTTGTCTTTAGGAATTCTTCTCGTCGCATCCTTTCTAGGATGGAGCGGTGCTGAATACTGTTATGCTCCTAATAGCTGCGTTCCTCAGGATTATTGTTCTATAAGGGGACAACCTGTCACAGTTGATATTAAAAAATGTGAGACCAATGAAGTATGCTGCAGATTAACAAAAGTAAGTATTTAATTCAGAATCCAGTAGGAAAAATTATCTTTAATTGTTTCCTGGTCTTTTTCACAGCCTTCAATACCCTCCTGTACGCCTCCCAGCCCCAAAACGCCTCACAGCCCTACTTCCTGCGATACTACGACTGCCAGGCCCAATACAACTCCCAGCACCACTACGACTCCCAGGCCCACCACGACACCGCGCAGTAAGCAGGCCTATGATTGCGGTACCAGCAACCCCAGAGGTATAGGCAATCTAGCGCTAGATACAAGTGACTCTAGACCTGGAGAATTCCCCTGGATGGTGGCTTTATATTCCAATGAGAAGTTCATTGGAGGGGGATCTCTAATCGCTATGGATGTCGTTCTCACCGCAGCACATATTCTTGAGAATGTGACCGCTGCCAATACAAAGATCCGAGCTGGTGATTGGGATTTAATATCGGACCGAGAACCGTTTACACCTCAACAGCGATTGGTGAAGAGCATCATAAGACACGAAGATTTTGATTATGAAACTGGGGCAAACGATTTGGCCCTTGTCATTTTGGCCCAGCCCTTCAAGCAGGAGGATCACATCCAGACCATCTGTTTGCCCACTCCAGATGAAGACACAGCGAACAAATGCATAGTAGCCGGTTGGGGCGTGAAAAACTTCGGTGACAAATGTTTATCAAATGTTCTGAAGGCAATTGAGCTTCCCTTAGTGTCCCAGGATGAATGCCAGGATAAGCTGAGGAAAACGGAGTTGGGACCTGATTTTGAATTGGATCCAAGTCTAATGTGCGCCGGAGGAGAAGAAGGGCTCGATTCCTGCACGGGAGATGGTGGTTCTGCCATATTCTGTGAGATGGACTACTACAGGAACCGCTACATACAGGTTGGAATCGTCAACTGGGGTATGGAGTGCGGCAAGAAGGACACTCCCGGGGTCTACACGAATTTAGAAAAGTTCAATGACTGGATTTATAAGCAATTAGAAGCCCTTCCAGCCATCCAGCACCCAAGGAGAGGAGAATACAAACAATTTTAACCGAGTGTCAACTATTAATTTAATTGACATGTGAATTATTTCTTGAAATACATTCATATTTTTATATGAACCAAAATATTCGGACATCTAAGAACTTTTCTAGTTTTACCCCAAAAAGTAGGCAACAAAATGTTTTGTAAAAATACAATATTGTATTTCAAAAAGGTTATGGGAAAAGGATTAAGATAAGTCGCTTATTTTATACAGAGGAGCAGGTTGCCCAACAGGTAATATCGAATCACTTAGCCAGCTACAGCCGCCGTACAGATTAACGACGATCCGTCTTGCCCGTACCGCGCTTGCCGGAATACAAATGCTTGGGCATCTTGGTGCCGATGAAACGATCCGCCTCGCCCTTGAGACCCATCTTTGTCACCTTCTTGGCAATGTCGCGCTTGGCCATTTGTTGCGCCTTCTTGCGGATGGCCACATTCTTGATGCCCAGGGTGTCGCGGGCAGGCGCACGCTTCAGTGGCTGGCCAGTCTTCTTGACAACCGCGGAGGACTCCTTGTCGAGCAGTATCTGCTTGGGCAGTTTCTTTGAGCCGACGGCCACCTGGCCACGACGCAGATCCACCACAGACTTGGTGAAGTTGGCGGTCTCGCTGCCAGACATGTCCACGCCAAGACCCTCCATCGTCTCCACCAGTTTGTTGACGGAACGGTCGCGGACCTTGGGCTGCTTGTGACGCGGAATAACCGGCTTGTTCTTCCTGGAGGACAGACGCTTCTCGTCGCGCAGCTCGAAGCGCTTGCCTCGGATCTGCTTGGCCATCTCGCGGATCTCCTTGAGCGTTTCGTCCATGGACATATCGGGCAATGTATACACGCCGCTGGACTCCCGCAGTCCCTCTTCGCGTTCCAGTTCCTCCAGCTTCTCGAAGATATCGGGATCGATGTAGTCGGCAATGTTGCGACCCTCCCAGAACTCTGGGATAACGTCGTAGCGCTCCTCCTCGGGAATCTCGCTGTAGTTCTTCTTGAGGTCCAGCGTGTAGTCGTCGCCCATCTCCTCCTCGATCTCCTTCTCCAATTTCTTCTTGCGCTCCGCCTTGGCAGCGTTTTGTTGGAGGCGGGTCAGAGCCTGTTCTGGGATGCATGGAGCACGAACCTTTTCATCGCGCGGCGCCGGCATTGCTACGTGCAGGCGGTTGAGGATGTTATCCACCTTCTTTGTGCGCATCTTTTGGTCCACGCGGTATGACAGCAGGCGCTCGCAAGCCTCTGTTTTCACTTCCATAACGCCTGTTTCCTGGACCGTGGACATCAACATGACGGGCACGCTCTTATCCTCCTGCAGTTTGGTGATGATTTGTCTCCTCTCCTCCGGCAAATCCTCCGGCGTCAGAATGTCAATCTTGTTGATGGCCAAGATCAAAGGCTTGTTGGTGAACAGAGGCTTGATGCTCTCGAAGAGCTTGACCTGTTCCTCCAGCGAATGGCCGCACTGCTCGGATATGTCCATGAAGTACAGTACACAGGCGCGCAGATGAGCCAGCGCTGTGATGGCCTGCATTTCGATAACGTTGCGCTCCTCGAGTGGATGATCCAGAATTCCGGGTGTGTCGATCACCTGCCAGCGCAGATATTTGTAGTCTGTGTGGCCCACATACAGGGACTTGGTGGTGAAGGCATAGGGCTGAACCTCCACATCGGCACGGGTGATCTTGTTGATGAACGAGGACTTGCCCACGTTGGGGAAGCCGCAAATGATGATGGTACGCGAGTAGGGATCGATTGTGGGCAGACGCGAAAGATGCTGACGCACTTGCTCCAGGTAGGTGAGGTTGGAGGCCTGTCGCTTCATAATAGTGGCCATACGACCCAGGGCGGCCTTCTTCAATTGTTTGCAGCGGTACAGCGAGTCACCATATTTCAGCAGACGAACATAATCCTTGGCCACACTAGAGTACAGGAATATCATGCATTTTAGAATGATTTCACAAAATAATTTAATTTAATGCTGAACTTACTTGTCCACCAAATGTCTGGCTGTGTTCAACTGACCCAGGGCCAGTTTGTAATGATCCTTGTCGTACAAGACATTCATCAAATCCGCATAGAAAGGATGCACGTCGTCCAGCTTGGGGAAATCCTGGATAATCTGAGACAAACGATCGTGGAAGTTCTGCTGCGTGTACTTCACTTTTCTCGTGTAAAAGGCACGAATGCGGGAAATCTTGTACCCCTTGTGGACAACCGTTGGGGTCTTCCGCTGTGTCTTCGACAGCATAATATCGATAAAGTCCTGAAAGGATACATAATTTCAGCATTATTTACATATTGCGCATCATGGTAAACACCTGTAGTGAGGTTAGGTAGGCGGCTCCCAAAAAGGGTGCTCCGCTGGACGGGCATTCTGGATAATGATATTTACCTTTGCTGGCGGAACCACCATGATCTTTTTGAAGTTGTACAGACTCATCTTGGCAGGATTTGTTTATTTTCCACGCGACAAAAGGAAAATAAAAAGGGAATCGACAGCAAAAACACCACGCGGTGCTCGCTCCGTATTCCAAAAAGAACCGATTCACGGGATGAACCAGTTTAGGTTCACATGTGCTTAAGAGTGATGCCACCTGGTTGAAATATTAGGATATGGCAACATTTTATTTTATATACAATGTTTTTACTGGGTTTTTAGAATTTTATAATTAATTAAAATAATTATTTTAAATATGCTCTTATGAATTTTATTTTTTTTAAGGCTGGAACTATCCAAAGTTAAACACATGCAAAAAATATTTAATTTTATTTAAATTCTAACCATGACCAGTGAGAACATCTTAAAAAGAGGAAGCAACCCAAAAACAATGCATATTTAAAGACAAACAAAATGGAATCTGAAGCTGAAAGATCAGTGTTCCTCTCCAGGGAGGAATTAATCAAAATTCTGAGCGACGTGCCAGTGGGATTTATAAAACCCTCTGATCCCCCGCAGCCAGAATTGCCAACTTTTAAAAAACTAGGAGTTTTGGTGGAAATACAGGATATAGTGGAAGCCAAAGAGCCCCAAAAAAGCATTAAAAGCAGGACTAATGACCAGTCGTACAGCTGCGCCGAGTGCCGAAAGATACTACCAACGGCCCATTTACTGGACTTGCACATCACCGAGCAGCACGACTTTTATTTCGCCGCCAGCGTGGAGCGGGGGGATAAGCCCATGTTCTCCTGCTTCCTGGAGGAGTGCTCGGAAAAGTTTCAGAGTCCCCGCAAACGAAAGGACCACTGTATAATAGTCCACAAGTTTCCTGCCAACTACCGCTTCGATCAGGGCAAGGAGAAGCACCATCCCAAGAAGCAGCTCTCCAACTCCATGGATGTGGATGATGATGCCGGAAGTAGGGATACCAAAGACTTGCCCAGCATCAAGGCCTTCACTTTTGGCCACCACCCACTTCGAACTTTCAACACGAGAAAGGATAAGAAATCCGGCGAGACGCTCGAAGATATTCAATCCATGAAGGATGCCATCAACGAGATTCTAGATTAGATTTACACGACTATTTATTTTGCGAATGAAGAAGCAGCATTATCCTTATCATAATATAAGTTTGTTATTCAAAACCTCGAAGATCATTTCGCCTTTGGGATGGGTCTGAAAATAAATCACAATTTTGTTAATGTTGCAGGTCTTCCTCATTCTGGTGGGTGTTCCTTTCGACAGATAACTTACTTTCCTGTGTTGGCATTAATGTAATGGTATGCCACCACCAGCAGGAACAGGAACACGCCCAGGACGTTCGAGAAAATAGCCAATTGCACGTCGGTAATCATATTTTGGAATGCCAAAAATCTGTAAACACGAAAAGTTGATTAGAACAATTGGGGAGTGACACGTCATGGATGCGCGAATGGTAAACTGAAGACTTAGGGCAGCCGTTAACTGGTAGGTCTGAACGAAATTACTCCAGAGTTAACTTAGCTATCCAAGTGAGTGTTTTATTTAATTTATCTTTAGTAATTTACCTTTTTATTAAAGAAAAAAGCGAGCCGGTTGTTGTGTTGCAAGAATTACAATGTGACCAGGTGCGGTTGTACAAGGCATACCAAAAAGGTTTGTGACCTGGATAAAGTTGCCAGGGTGTTTAACTTTTTCAAATCGAATGCCATTTTTAAAAAACTAAAAATATAGTTTTTAGAAAACATCCATCACAGCTTTTAAATTAAGCACACCTTTTCCCAATAACCGTTTAAAACACAAAGACTTTAGTTTTTAATTTAAACTTAAAACTTAGTCATTTATTTAATGATTTCCTTAATCTTATTTAAAATATCTTTCAGTTGTATTGCTTATTTCTTAATTTACAATAATACTTATTGTTTTTCTGCTCTCAGTTGAGTTGCGTATTTATTGTTGTGCTGCTCTGTTTGAAGGTCACTTGTTTTGTTGGAAATAGTCACATTAATTTAAAATTTTTCTTAATTAAATAGTAAAATAAATACCATCACACACAGATATCTTTTCAATTTCTCTAGCTTACGACTAAAGTCACTAAAAGAAGTGCACTTTCAGCTCACAAACACTCTTACATGGGGCACACAAAATGCAAATTCAGGAATTTAAATTAAAAAGGACTTCACGAAAAGCTTAGCTTTGTCATCCAAAAAAAGGGAGAGCCTACAACTTGTGGAATTTGTGATAATAATGTTGCACTTTTCCGAAGTGTTAGTTCGACGTTATCGTAAGTCCTTGATGGGGCGCCAAAGGAGTTGCATTCAGGTCCTGCGCTGTACGTGGCAAATAGGGCTTTTTGTTGGACTTTTGAAATAAATCCGAAACGTAGTTGGCCTGAAAGTAAAGAAGGAAAGATGTGGTTATTAATGGTATTATAATCTTGGATAACTTTCGGGGGTTTAAGTGTAAAGTTTATTTAAAAATGAGATTACAAAAGACCCTTATTAGCATTATTCATAAGTCTAAATAGTAGAACCCTTTGAGTGCCTTTTAAACCCCAATTATGTGGTAATTCTTTGAGTACACAATTAATTAGACATCTGCTCCTAAAAGTATGTGTTTTGAGCGACTTCCCAACCCGTTCCTATCTCTCTAATTGAATCGCTGTGGAATATGACGGTTGGGGTCCTACTCGATCAACCCCCCCTCATAACTTTCCCTCCGTTCCCCAGTGAAGCGTGAAATTACGACTGGACAGCTGCACGGCCAGCTGGATTGGACTTGGCATGGAGTCAAGCCGACCTGGCTAGATGGCTAGCTGGCTGGCTGGCTGGCAGGCTAGCCGTTTCGTGCTACTTATATTGGATGGCATTGATTGGCACCACACGCAAATAGGCCCGTGGCAAGGTGTTGAGAGCCTCTCCACATCCCACATCCCATATCCCATATCCCGCACTTCAATTAAGGCTAATGGCCGCCACCAGGTTAATAATAATGAATAGTCGGAGGTCGGTATGCAGGATTTCTGATGCTTTAATTGCTAATCTTCTTTACAATGTCATAAAAGCTATTCTGCCGATACTGTATGCGGATCTTTCCCTCACTTTGCTTTGATTTTTGCGGGCCAAACTGTTTGGAAATTGAACCAACTCTTGGGCAAGCAGTAGCTCTAAAAAAGATGATGGAAGTATTGGATATGAGTCTAAGATACTGGGCTGTGTAGCTTAGCGGGTAAGGGGGTCATGCTTTCTTCAACTCAATATAATGATTGTGAGTGCCGGAATGAACAAAAAGGAACACTTACCACAACTAAGGCACATAGGGAACCAATCAGGGATCCAGCCAGCACGTCCGACCAATGGTGCTTGTAGTCTGAAACGCGGCTCAGGGCCGTGTACCAGGCCACCATGATGAAGACGAACTGTAGGAAGTGACGCAGCAGCTTGGAGCCCCGCCAGGTCATGCGTGCCTGCAGGTACAGCTGCAAAAACCAAAAAGTACAGAGAGAGAACAATGAGTCCTAGGATCGTGTGACTGTAACAATGGACTTACCGCCAGATAGACCATGGCGAAGAAGGTGAAGCTGGAGTGGCCGCTGGGGAAGGAGAGGCGCATCTCTTTGAGCATGCGTGCCGACGAGCCGACTCCCTTGCACGTGAAATCCTCGATGTACTTGCCCACGTTGCGGGGATCGTCGCAGGTGGAGTTGTCGGACAACACGGGCTGGCACACCTATATATGGGGGAGGACAATGGGAACGGGTGAGTCAAAGGATGACTTGGACTTGAGCTGATTAGAGCTCAAGAGTTCTCTGTGCCACATGTGCCGCAAATTAGGGAGCTGCAACAGCTGCAACTGCATTGCACTTTCTGCCGCCCGGTTGCCGCACTTCACTTAACAATAGGGCGGCTCTGTGCGGCAGCTCCCCTAAGAAAGTGATTCCTACATGTCCATGGAATCCCTATGCGAGCTCCCCAAATGATCCGGACGATAACAAGCTAACAAGCCACTTGCCGCCGCGAATATTTATGGAATTGTCAGACATCCAGTCAAAATATCATAAATAAACAAGCTATTGGAATGGGATAGCTGTCTGGTATGTATGATTTTTTTTTAAATTATAAGAAGTTTCAAAATACTCTGATAAAATATAATTACAATAATTGAACAACTTATAACCCCTATTTTATCATTCAAATGTTTGCAAATAAAACTACGCCCCAAAAATGTTAATATTTGATTATTTTATGACGAAAAGATAAACATTTATGGTTAGGGTAACCCCAAAAATCTATTAATATCTGTTCCCCCTTGTGCGTGAGAGTCTCGGGCTTTGTCTCCACGAAGACTCCACGACTTTGTGTCCATGTTAATGTCATTTTCCTACTTCGACATTGGATTTGTCTTCGTTGTTGGCTGTCAGTGTCGCTGTTGCAGTTGCCTGTCGTCTTGTGCTGCACATGTTGCAGATTAAAATTAATTGGCAATGTCAAAACGTGGATACCACTGTGAAATTATTAACCACGACTGCACAATCAGATAAATACTCACCGCTATGAAATGGGGACGCAGACGTCCGATGGAGTATTTGGCGATATCCGTAGTCAGTTGACTAACCACCGCTCCGAAGGCATAAATGCCTAACTTCTTGTAGCACTCGATCAGCCAGTCGGGCAGTTCCCGGTTCATGAAGACATATCGCCGGCCCAAGGTGTTGCCATTATCTGTCTTGGCCTTGTCCTGGGATATTATTACCTCGACGGCGACTATCTACAAGCATAAATAAAACACAATAGGAGTGAGTTCTGTGAGTTCGCAGCTCGTAAAACCCTTTTTTCTGGAAGTCATTAAGGGGCGCATGCAAAATATTTATAGTATCTGGAACATGGGCTGGGCGTAGGAGTTTATTAGGGCCTAGGCCCATTAGGCCCAGACACATGTTGCTCTAGTTTTAATTGCCGACATGTGGACAGTAAACATGCAATGTGGTATCTTGCATCATGTCTATGTCGCTATGGCCTGCTGACAACTGAACTTGACGCAATTGCGCAATCTTGGCTCAAGTATCTGACAGCTGCTTGACACAATTTCTATCCCGAAAAGCCACCCACCCACTTGGACACTTACCACGCCAACTGGTATGATCACTCCAATGAAGTATAGCATCCAATTCCGGACCGTGGAGTCGTGGAACGGATGCTTCAGCGACTCGTCGTCGCAGAAGAAGCCACGCTTGTATGGTTGGCCCAGCACGAAGAACAGGAGTATTGGAAATCCAACTGCAATGAACAGAATAGAAAATAGAAATTAGAAATACTATCCATTTATCAATTTATAAATTCTCCCCGCCCTGTCCCGCGCACGGATCTCAGTAGGTCATTGGGGCTTAAGTGGCGCGGGGCATTATCTTTGGGGCGGCCCGGGAACCCTATTGACTAGCGATATGTCCTAAGCCCAAGTGATAAGATTCCCAGTGACAAGCGAACGTGTGCGGGGTCTCAATTGGGGCTCATAAAGTAATGCCAACGCGGGGAAATCTGTCAGCGACTTCTCAGCCTGTCTTATTAAAAATTCGTAGCCATTAATAATAACCTATAGAACTTTAGAAGTCTGACAAATGGTAGAATTGATCGATGGCCGGGCTTCTTTATTTGCTTTAGTGCGCTGGAGAACATTTATCTAGTGGATAATTAAAACTGCATTAGCCCTGGCTCCAACGCTCTAGTTTGCCTAATTGACTCCCTCTGCAATGAGGCATACTACCTGCAGGGAACAAGTCGATGAACTGGATGTGTTCAGCCAGGCGTTGAAAATTGTTGTAGAAACTTGTGGGCCTGGGCCTGGAGATTTGAAGTGCTCATTAGACTGGCAGAATGTATGGATCTGTGGAGTGCCTAGTGCCTAGTGCCTAGCTAGCACTCCGTGGCGACACGTCTCTCAGTTTTAATTACTTTTTGGCATTGGCTCTGATCTTCGAGTTGCAACACAAAGGTGGGTGACACAATGCCTCGTCTTCCGTCCTCTAGACTTTGTCCTATTCTTCAGCCTGCAGCTGCATCAGGTCCCTAAATCTAGATCAGTGGCATTGTCGTCGGGATGTTAAACGATCGCCGACTGTTTTTTGATAATGCTGGGAAAGTTATAGAGATAGAGTCTGGATTCTGGCTGCAGAGATTAGCGTCATATTACGAACAGCAAGTGGCCCTTTGTTGGCCCAGAAATCCCTTTCTCTTTTCTGTAATCCCTAATCCTGTTCCAGCCACCCGGTAGCACTAAAATGTTTTTATGACTTTGCGGCATGGAAAACGAAAGTGTCTGGCTTTTGTGGAAAGATGTATTATGATCTCCATAAGCGCAGAGATTAGTTAGTTCGAGAAATGGAGAAATGGGGAAAATGTAAAAATGAAATCGGAACATTTATTTCTAAACGAAGGCAAGGGCTGTTGATGTTTTTGTGCGTGTCTCTTTTTTATGAGGGTGACATAAACCGTTTAAAAATGATTACACAGTGGCTGCTGTAGTATACCTCCAGCGGAAATATTTAATTTAATTTTTCGAGAATCGGTCGGGGGCTGCACTCAACCGAATTGTAACGCACCTATGGACGCCGCACTTTCATAGCAAAACATTGTCCATTTGGTGTCAAGTTCATTTTAATAATAAAGACGCCGCCTGCTCCAGCTCACTGCCATCTAGTTGAACAAACAAGACCCACAACAAACGGAGCACCAACATAAACAAATTGTTTGTTAAACAAAGAGGTAAACGCACCCACTTCAGCACCACTCTCAGCCTCAGTCTCACTTCCCAACAATCAGATTTCCTCAAAAGATCACTTGGCCAGCTCAAAGCCACCGTCCTACGCCTACCCCTCGTGTTTGTATCTTTGTATCTTTGTATCTTTCTATCTTTGAGATGCTGGGATGCCGCCAAGTCGCTTTTCTTTCAAGTTCCCAAATGTTTGCCTGTCGCTTAGCTTAGAAGAGTTATCTCGTGCTAGCCGAGTACATATTTGCAGAGTCTTTGGGGAAGAGATGATTCTACGTTCAAATCTGACCCCAAATACGAGGCAGCTTCTAATTAAAAGCGTCTGACTTGCACTTGCCGCACTAATTAGACATGACGGAAGTCAAATTAAAGACAATTAATGCCAAGATGGCAAGTAACTCCGAGACTTCAGAAGACTTGGCAGCCAGACAAGCCCAAGGATGGCTAACCAGAGTAAACTTTGAACCGAGCCAATTGATCGGATCAGGACCAAGACAATGACCGTAAAAAATGAACAAAATATTGATGTGGGTTTTGGCGAGAAATCAGAATTGTTTACCAAGAATCTTCCCAACGACCCGCATCAAGAAAAGGTGTCACACACGCAGGTCTCTCTACCTGCAGCAGACTCCCCAACCTTTCTCTGACAGGTCATGAGTCATGAGCCCACGGCAATTAAATGTTCATTACTTTCCTCCCAGGAACTATAGCGCAAAAAAATACATGAAAAATCAACATCAATCTTTGCAGCAATGCATCTTCTCTCTGAAATCTATTGTGGCTCGGAATGTATGGCTCTGAATCTGTATCTGAATCTGTGTCTGTATCGTTTTTAGGCCCTGTTTGTTGTTGCCTGAAAGGTAAACAATAACAGCCATGCCTCAGGAAAATGCCCAAAATGCATTGCATAAATATTATTCTTTCTACTTAGTTTTTGGTCAAATTGAATAGAAGAATGTTCACCCCCAACTACAAACACACACAACCTACAAGTATACGCAGTACAGGGGGGGCTCACGCAATCACGCTCGATAAATTATCAAAGTGGGGGCTGAGAGATGGGGAACTGAAGACTGGGGGACGACCTCCGATATGCATTTCTGTATATATTTTATGGGTTTAATGACTCCACCTCAAGGAGAAAGGTGAAAGAAGCAGAAGAAGTTTGTGCCTCAGCTCGTTCGCATTCAATTAACGTCAAACGTAGATTCGAGATTCGGTTTCGAGTTCTTCAGATACTTTTCTAAGGTTGGGAAATTTGTTTGGTTAAGTGCCACTGACACTCTCGTCATGGTATCACTTCTTTCCACTTCTTCCCCACCAGAAATCACTTTATCAGCGTTTGTCTAACGTCACCAGTAATTTACACCCAAAATTTGTTGACGACAGGCGAGGGCACACCGCGGCGGTATGCATCCATCAGATGCATCCGATAGATACAAAGATCCAAAGCGACCCACTAAAAACAAGAATTTTAAATGGCCCACAGATATTTTGTAAAAGATTTAACTAATTGGAATTTTTTTTGAATATTTTGTCTTCTTTGTGGCAACTTATTGACAAAACTTTGTGGTGCTTTTGTTGAAAAATCGATCGAAAAATTTCCAATTTGTTTTGTGGGAAATTTCAATGTGCACACGGCTGGCACGTGTTTTAGATTAGGAAACTACCAAAAAAATATAAATGTGGTTAGATTAGAGAAGTCTGCGAACTCTTATCTTGAGATATTTTGGGGTTATCTAGTTGAAAGCCCCTTTTTAATTTCCTGTCATTTTAATAAGGATGATTCATTTGGGATTTGGGTTTACTGCCTGGACCTTAAAGGCGCTTCAGATGAGTCAACAAATAAGGCGAAAGTTCAGGCTACCTGAGGCTTGAAATGTGTCATGCTTTTATGCTGAGAATGGGAACATATCTCATTGAACTTCCATTGTAAACAAAATGCAATATCAACAATAAAGCCGTAAATTCTATAGGAGGTCTCTGCCTGATTAGCAAACTCTACTCTACTAGCCACTGCTAGTACGATCTACTAGTCAAGGCAGCACTCCATATCAGTTGTTCAAATATGGCGGCCTGGGCCTCGTTATTTTCCAGTAGTGCCAATTGCAAAAATCTACAAAATGTCTCTGCCTATAATGGGGTGCTCGATCTGTGACTCAGCCCAGGTTGCTAATCAGTATAGGCACATTCTACCAGGTACAGGTAAACCAGTTTGGCGACAATAAACGCAATTGTTCAAAGGGGAAAATGTTTGAACTTAACTTTTAAATAAACAAAAATTCTATGTAACTTATTGGTTCTTTTTTTTGGACAGAAACAACAACACTGATAATGTTGGGCAAGAAATACTGTTTATGGGGAAATTGTGCAACACCCCCACGATCGAGGCGAGGAGTCAGCACTGCAGGTTGTCCACCTCTGGCTGACACAATTTACTGCATTTTACTGTCTTTTGTTTACTAAGCAAATAAAAATAAAGGAAGGGCGGTAAACAGCAAAAGGCAAGAAAAGACAGCACTACCTTTTTAAAAGCTTTTAAAAGCGGGCATGACAAACTTCCACATTTTTTATGTTACAAGATCGTTGGAATTTTATGAATTACGAATTCACTTTGAGTCATCAAATGGATAATATATTTTTTGTTTTTACACTAATCTGTAAGTTGCGAATCTAATGTCTGAAGAGAACTCCACCTAAGAGAGCAGAAAACTTAAAGAGAGCCTAAAAGCTCTGACAAGGCCAGCACAGATACGCACACATACACGCAATTACATAAAAAAAAGCCAACTAGGAGAGTAAAACGGAAATAAACACAAAAAGAAATAATAATAAACATTGCGACAGAAAATAAACATGCGGCTAAGGTAAATAATTGAAAGTTTGCATTGAATTCCGAGGTGAACAAGTGTAATTGTGAATTCGAATTCCATTACTTACCGCAGAGTAGGATTAAAATATCCAAGCCCACGCGGCACAAGATTCGCTTGTTGGTGTCCATGTTGGTAGCCTGGCTCTGCTGTTGTATGTTGTTCGCCTCGTTCTCCTGCAAACGCACTGCCACCGAATCTCCGTAGTCGGTTTTATTATTATTACTATTACTATGGTTGTTGTTAACAACGGTCTCCGTTAGCTGTCTGTGGTTTTGGGCCACGTTATCAGGCGATTCACTTTCGGGCCGCCGCAGCGGTGTTGTTTCGCTGGCGGATGATTCGTTTCTCATTTTTGATTCTCTTCGAACACTTTTGGGTGCCGTTGGAAAAGCTTTAAGCTTGCTCTCGCTTGGCAGTGAACTTGAGCTTAAGAGAACGTGCACAAAAGGTGCAAATCGTATCTTAACGTCAAATCGTATCTTCCTCTACGTCACAAACCTCTTTTGCTGGTGCTTCTTCTTCTGAAAAGGAGGATCATCAAAAAGATACATATATGTGAAATTATTAAGGGGGGAAAAATGTTGAATAAGTCGACAGAGTGAGTAATCGGTGGAGGATTCCCTAACGATAAAAAACTGACAGTTGTGACGCGCGTTTTATTCTTCCCACTTTACCATAACCATTTCTGATTCATTTGAATGCGTAGCATCTCGTGATTAATTAGCTTTCAAATGGAATTGAAGATTGAAGATGCTTCTCCAACAGGGTTAAGTGACGTTGCTTCCAATGAATAATAAAAACTTTCAATTTCATCTGTCAGAATTTGAATCGATTTTGTACAGTCTAGCTTATAAACGTCATATTTTAGAATCTAAGAAGTTATAATGTAATCAGAATTTCATATGAGACTTTGTTAAAAACAAGTTTTGAGCTACAACGTTTTTTTTTAAGATGTTAAACGTATTTTTAAGATCATTCATAAATTTTTTATGAAATTCATAACAATTTAATCTTTCATTTATAGAATTATGAATTAGTTGTAAATAATAAAGTGTTACTGCGTTCGTAAAAAAAAAAATATTCAAATTCAATATAATCAAGCTACTTTGTATTCCAAAATTCCGGTTTACAAGCTTAAGCAATGACATAATCGTGGTTTTTTCCAAGTATTCAAATTTTAAAACATTATTTTTATGAAAATAAAATAAATCGAATAAATCCCGATTTATTCGAATAAATCAAATAAATCACGAATAAACACAATCGTGGTTTTTTCCAAGTATTGAAATTTTAAAACATTATTTTTATGAAAATAAAATAAATCGAATAAATCCCAACTGCATTTTTGTACTCCCATCTAGAGAGATGTTTTCTTGAAGTTCTATAATTTTGTGCAATCAACGGGGCCATCAACGGGGCGTTGTAATGACCAAGTAGAGATCTGTTCAAGTGCTCCGGGTCCAACAAGGCCTTAATTTGACAAAACCACAACTGGCCAAGTGGCAAACGTCAGTCAGAGTCCCAAGAAGTTCTTCTCCTCAAAGAAGGAGCAACAAACTTACAGAAGAGGAGGCAACAAAAAAAGAGGAATTGCAGTTGCCAGGTACGATTATGGCCAGGCCAAGGCAACCGGGCCAATGAATTCGATCAGGCATCCTTCTATTTATAGATAGCAATCCAGCTCTGTTGCTATTTTATGTTTGCCAGGGCCTACACTCCGGAGACTTGATACTCCACTGATGAATGTTCGCTGCCCTTGTCCCCTTTCCCTTTTTTCATTGAATGACATCGCAGCAGGCAGTATCTTAATTAAAAAATTCAAAACCAAAAAAAAAAAAAAAATAGAAATAAAAAAAGAATTGTAAAAGAACCGCGGATATTATCGGATCTGGGGATGTGAAGAGCGTGCTTCCACGCACTCGAGATTGTTAGCATGAGATTATTTTTTAATTGTCAGCTCCCGGAAATAAATGGAGGTATTAATCAGGCTAAAAATATCTTAGCCTGCATGTTGCAGGGGCGTCATGTTGACCCATTAATAAACGATTAATCTTGCCTTTATTTGTGCAAATCGCAGCATTATCTTATCACCAGCATTTAACGGTGGAAATGATAACAACACTGTTTTATGACTCAAGGGGCTAGGCTTTATAAGGCCTCCATTAAAATGACAAAATATTTATGACAAACTGTAAAGTTTTAAAACTACTTGTGATTGGGAAATACTTTTATTTTACCTCGGTTTAAGATAAACAATTTCTAAAGTTATTGGTAGGGTGAGGTATTTGGGGAATATATCTCGTGATTTCTGGTTATTTATGGAAACATTAATGAGCTTTTAATTAAAAAGACTGATTAATGGTTTGCTTATACAATTCAATTGATTTTAATACTAGGGATTGTTGATTTATTATTCATTCATTATCCATGTTGGCTTACTATATATATATATATTTTTCCCCCTTTTCATAGTAATCTGACTGTATTTAGTTAGTTCAACACCTAAAAGCAATTAAGTCAACAGGTTTATGGTATCACAGGACGTGTCATTGTAATCCAGCATTACATGAAGATAATTATAAAGTCACTTGTGAATCGAAAGGCTAAACCTCCGCCTCCTCATTTTAATTCCCCGAGTTGTACGATTAACTTTTGAGGGGCCAACGACCACAAGCTGAGGCCCAGACCTCCGGCCACCCCCTCTCCTCCAGCCAAATGTCATTTTTGGAATATCTCGGACTCATGGGGCGAATTAAGGTCATTCGAGATGGAAAAAAATAATTTAAAATCAAAAAAATATGCATATCTGTTAATGAAATGGTTCACAATTTCCATAAACAAGTGGCGCCAGACAGGGATCATTAAAAATGCAACAAGTGCATGGCGGGACATTCGATCTAAATATGGAAATTTCGACTTCACTCCAGGCACGCAAATCCCCAATTTTTGTGAGGAAGAAAAAGTTGTCCACGTTGGGGCTTCGATTTCGGATTACAATGCAGACAAGTTGTCGGCGTAAAGGAAGGAAAATCGACACCCGAAAGGCAGTCTGTGGTCTCAGGTTTGGCAAATCCAAACCCCAAACTGTATGTAAAAGACTTGTTTATTTGCTTTGTTAACGATTATTATTGATAGCATTGTGGTTCTAGCTGAAATCAGCAAAAGTTTGCCAACATTACACGCGCTTGACACTGAAATATGAACATGAAGTTGGCCAAAAAAATGCGGTAACAGAAGTACAGACTGTAATGGAAATAAAAATATATTGCTTTTAATGTAGAACTCTTGCCAAGCCCAATAAAAATTTACAAATTATCGAAAAAGCTCAGGAAACGTACAAAAATCTATGAAATACAATTTCGAGATGATTTATGAACTTGTGTGTGGCAGGAACAATGCCAAGTATTTCATATTGGAAATGTTTATGGTGGGCACACCAGGAATACATCGTGTAACAGCTTGCAACTTGGCCAGAGGCCAAAAGTAGAGTGGATCTAAATGACGGGAAAGCCTTATCCAATAATGGCCAAATCGGACGTGAGGTATTAAGCTGGCGGATCGAACCAATAACGCTAAAGCACCATGAAAAGCCAAATGCTGCGCATCCAAACGGCTTTTGGCCTTTTTGCGTTTCAATTATTGATAAGCTATCGATGGCGTAGGGTTCCGCGAACTCCTCGATGGTCTGATTTTAATTGAAAGATTGGGTAGACCTCATATCCGTAACAACAACAACAACAACCTTGACCATGGCGGGAACGTATCGATTTTGAACCAAACAAAGGCCGTCCCACGCCCACGCAATCGATGAGAGCATTTTCCCTTTTCTTTTTGTTCACCTGTTTAATTTATGAATATTCCCACATACATTCGCAGATTGTTCCGCTGCCACATTCGCAATTTGTTTATGCCACCATCAATTCTAGAGGCTCCACAGACACTCGTGTTTGCCGGCCAAGCAAATCAATAAAATGCTCGAACATACGCGCCAGCCCATGGATATAGCCATTAGCTCACTAGGCCAGGACAAATAAACACTTTGGTTGTTTAATTAATTTTACCTTTTTGGCGGGCAGGTTGCTAAAGTTTACTTTTTAAGCAATCCTCCTTCGCTCCGTCATCGTTATAGCACTGATTTTGCTTTTGTTTTTTTTACGCACTTCTAGATATTCGTATTATTCCCGTTCCGTAACACTAAAATATATATTAACGACCGATTCGCACTGCTGTTGTGAACTAAACGGACGGATAGCGACGCGTAGAATTCCGAAACATCCGTTATTTGCAGTTGCACAAAGGCAACTGAGGCACCAGATAAGATTGTGCCTCGTATGGCCATTCAGTCGGGCTGAGAGAAAAGAGTAGCACTGGGGGTGGCGAGAGAACGGGCTGCCACTCTCCCTTATCAGTTGGCCGCCTGTGAACGTGGAATTGAAACTGAGAGAGTCGAAGGTAAAGGTTTTGTACAAGGATATCTCGAAAAGAGCTAGCATGTCCTTGAAAAATGTAAAACTAACTTTTTCATAGGGAGCACGTTGCGTATGCGTAATGTTATATGTGAGCTTTTTTTGAATTTGTGCTTATTGGCGGGAATTTCAAACTATACTGCCTTATTTTAAAAGTTTTTTTAATTATAATTTGTTTTTTTTTTTTATAAAATTGTTTAATAAGGAAGTATAATTAACTGCTAAACTAAACCTTACTGCCCTTTTGGACTTCAAAAATATATTTATTTTTATGTATAAGGTTTTAAATTAAAGTAAATTATAAATATGTTACATTTCCCTTACAAAAATTAAGAAAATAGACCATAAACTATGCCCATGTTCCATTCTATAAATTCCCTATTTAAAGAAAAGAGAGTCTTTCCAGGGAGAGTACCACGAGAGGCCCACTCTCATTGCAGCTGTTTACATTGCTGGCTGGCTGGCTGGGACCATGCTGCACTGGCTCTTGGATTTCTGGTCGCACTTTCTCAGGCGGCGTCAATTGGATCGGTTCGGATCGTTCGGGTTTTAGGGGTTTTTTCTGTCCGCTTCTCTTCTATAATTTTGTAGAAACGTAGTCGGTGCTGCTGCTGCGCATGCGAATATCAAATAGAAAAGCAGAACCAAACGGAAAAAAGTGCGAAAAAAAGTAGAGCAAGAACGATAACACCTTCGAATGGTCGAAAGAAGAAAACAAACGGCAACTAAGTGTTAAGTGGCAATGCAGTCCAAATAATGGCAGAGATTTCTTAACTGGTTGTGTTTACCTTTGTGCGTCGCCAGCATTATTTGACCAAAATTTTAACTCGGACTTAACCGATCGCGATCGCTCATCGCCTTATCGCTTGCGCAATTGCGTTTATTTACCTTCGCTCCGGTGCAACTTCAATTTTCAAACCGCCCACTAAAACGCCGACGCCGTGTATTTTACAACATTATCGATTTGTTGGCTTTATTTACTTGGTTACACTAGCTTATCGCAGTGCCTCGAAAAAGGGAGCGTCCATTAGCACATCGAATCCCGAAAGAAAATAACGAAAAAAGTGAACCACTCCCGAGGATTATTTAAATATTTGAGTGTGCATCTCGGTTTGCTGATAAGATGACCACCCGTGCTGTGTCCAGGTGCAATAGGCCCATAAATTGAGCCCATTGCTTTCATCTTCAAGATAAATCCCTCGTTCAGCTCTACCCTACCCTACCCTACCCCCCCCCGACTTTTGACAATGAGCGGTATGCGTCCGGGCAGCGTTTGCGATACCACGCCGCTGCAGAGATTCGAGAGCCAGAGCAGCAGTAGCGAGGAGCCTTCTTCACCGACGGCGGCGAGCATTATAGCCGCGGCTAATGCTGGGGCAACCTCTAATCCCAGCCACAATAACAACAACAATGTGAAACTCGACTTACAGATGCCAACGTTCGTTGGAGGCCAGCGCCAAAATGGAACAGGATCCAAGCCGATGCGTGGTCCCCGCCAGATATTCTACCGGATCTTTGTGGACCTCTGCTTGCTCAGCTGCGGTAAGTTGTGGGAAGGGACATCACCCATTCTGGTCAAGGGTGCACAACAAAGACTAGCCATTGAGGATCTGGGCTGCCCTATTGGCAAACGGATGTTTACCTGGCGATACCTAGTTTATGATCGAAGAACAACATTGCCGTCTTCTGTCCATGACGAAACTGCTTGGGCAACACGATAAAAGAAGTACTCTTGCAATAGATAAAATAATTTCCAAGTAACACCTGGAAATCCGTTGTAAGCGCCACAAATGCCCCATTAAGTAATGATAATGGCCTCTATCTATACCAATCTTAGGGTTTCCCAACCACACTTCGGTAGCCAAAATTATTAAATAGCTTTTCTGATAAATAATGTCCGGTTGTTTTGTTTAGACGACCTTCGACCACGAAACGCATCCTCTTTAAAAAGTTCCGACCCATTAATAATCTCTTTGTTGAGATTGTTTCTGAAGCGACGTAACGCCAAACAAAATATTTACATTACACGTCCGCCAAAAAGAAAAAAGTTTAAACTTCCATGAACTATTTAAAAAGTCTAGAACAGAATACTAATTGCGTCTAGTACTAGAAACTTGTTCAACCATGAACGATTTCTTTCTTTCCTCTAATCAAAAAAACCAAAATAAATCAATTGTAATGGTTTGTTTGTATCAGCTGGATGTGCCTTGTCTTTAATTCTTTCTATTTAACCCACTCAAAGTTTTTCGAAAAATGTATTATCACTTTTCCCGACGGCCTTTCACACGTTTTACGGTCTGTTATCATGAAAGCAGCAATTGATCTCTTGCACTTGCCAGTCATGAGCTTATTCCACATTTGAATCCATCACGCAGATGTGCTTCGGAGGGGGTTCCGCTATCTATCCCCCATGGACTAATAGTACCCCAAAAATACTGTGTTTTGAGGTGAGCCAGTGCCTTGTTTTCAAATATCTCTACAATGTTTCCAGCAGTGTTTTCTTTTGTGGCTTTTTTTTTGTGCGTTTCAATGATGATCAGCGAACCCCAAAAGAGATGCTATGGAAAATAAAATATATATTTATTCGCACATTGAGTTCGTTCCGATTTATTATATTCAATTTGTGGCCAGTTCTTTTTTTTCGAAGGGGGCAGCATTTGTATATTTCATTGTTCTGGACTCGTTTCCACACCATCATCACCACCATCGTAGTATTCGTTGTGTTTACCCAAGTCCAATTAAGGCTTGATCAGCAGACCTTGCTTGTGGAATTGGACACCATTCGGTGGTACTGGGCCACCCAAAAGGCCCTATATTCTCATTTTTCAGATGGGAAAAATCTAGAACAAAGAACCTTTACTAAAGTATTAACTTTATCCTTCTAGTGGGGCTGCCTATGCTGGGATTTTCCTTGTGGGGCGAGCCTTTCAAAAGAGGATTCTTCTGCAATGACAACTCCCTGTTACATCCTTACAAGGAGTCTACTATGCGCAGCTGGGTGCTATACTTAATGTGCGGAATCTTGCCGGTTTCAGTGGTGAGTTAATGATAATATTTTTAATTTTGAAAATAAACTAGTAAACACTCCCCCCACAGATTCTTATAGTGGAGTTCTTCAGAGCCCAGGACCAGCGTTTAAATGGCCCTTTCAACAAGTCGGGCAGTGGCTACCATATCTGCCACTTGGAGCTGCCAAAATGGCTGGTGGAGTGTTATCGTCATATAGGAATTTTTATATTCGGCCTAGGAGTAGAACAACTAACTACAAACATAGCCAAGTATGCTATCGGGCGGCTGAGACCCCATTTCTTTTCTGTGAGTTTAGAATTTGGAATTTAGAAAAAATTTCTTATCCACTTTATATTTCAGCTTTGTCAACCTGTTTTGCCGGACGGCAGTACTTGTAATGATCCAAAGAACTACGGTCTTTATATTGAGGACTTTGCCTGCTCCGCAATGGACATCACTTCGAAGCGAATGAAGGACGTACGCCTATCGTTTCCCAGTGGACACGCCAGCTTTTCCTGCTACGCCATGCTCTATTTAGTAGTAGGTTTCCTCCTAACTCATAATATTATTTTACAAATTTTTAAAATTATTTCTTTGATAGATTTACTTGCATAACAGAATGCAGTGGCCACGCTTGCGCATGCTGCGAAACTTACTGCAGTTTATGTTGATAATGTTCGCCTGGTATACGTCTCTCACTCGAATATCGGACTACAAACATCATTCGTCCGATGTTTTAGCAGGTGCTTTCATTGGCATTTTTTATGCAACATGTGTGGTACGTATTTGTATAATCCTCTGAGGCTCAAAAGTGTATATTTTGTAATCTTCTTCTAGACCGCGACTACGTTATAGGAAGGCATCTTAAGACAACCGGGGGTTACAAACCCCAAGACCCCACCGCGCTGAGCTGCTACTGCTTTAAGATGTCTCATCCCTTTAAATTTCAGTTTTATTCTAGTTTTAACTTTTGACCATGTCTAAGCTAGCTATTTATCTATGTGTGTGACAAATTTTACTTAATAAATTTCAGTTAAATATGTTGTAATAACTAACTCTGGAGGACACTCCCTGATTCAGGTTTATCGTGTTTCGAACTGCAGTTGGTGTAACTCCAGACGGCAGTCATTAATTGCTGGCGTTGATTATACGAATACAAATCGATTGATATGATCATGTGAAAAATGATGAAATTATGCTCACGATACAAGCAATCGAAGTCAAATTACACTAGGAAATGTCCTTGACAGCTGAGATTAATAACCCAAAACTATTGCCAACTGGCTGTGGTTCAGATCTAGTTTTTATGGGAGGGGACCAGACCAGTGGCCTATCGAAACCTGTCCCGTGGACCCAGAGATCTCTGATCTCTATGGGTAATTAGCAATTGGCGCAGAGTCGGAGCAGACCAATTTGTGATTTTTAATTACACTGTGGCACCTTGTGCTACCTCTACTCCTGAAAGGAGTTTTGAATTTGCATTTGATTTGCATTTTAAACGAATTTATTGCCCTGACCACTCAGCAAGTGGAGCAGGAATCCGACCAGGAGCCATCCAACGATGATGCATCACTCAATCAGGCGGCGAGACAGCCGAGTGCCACTCACTCACTCACCATCCAGTGGAGTTGTTACTGTACAGTGGACACCATTCCGGCTATCAGCACTCAGGCCGTGGAGATTGATGCCGCCGTAAAGCATCGAGAAACAAACAAGACATCGCCATTCGATGGAGTGGTTTTCTACCCAAATTCCGTATGCTAGCCTTTACAACAATTAACACAATTTTTTATTTCGCTTTTATCGCATAATTGCATTTCTTCCAATCCGATTCCCCAATTTCCCCAATTTTCAATTGCCCGCATCTGCTGTCAGTTTTGTTTTTTTTTATACACATGGTGGGGAGTGATTCCGGGGACTACGCGTGTCTGTCAATAGCTTCAAGTTTATGTCTATAGGGAAAGTTTTCAATTCCCAACCTAAATGGGGCAGATGTACAAAAATTGAAGAAGGGCGAAGGAGGGGTGCTAGAGTCGGGGTCTCTATGACAATGGCCAGCGGGTTGGCAATTTTCGATACTCCATAAGACCATAATAAAAATTGCCCAGCAAATTCAGGCGCGAAATTCATTTTGAAGCATGAAAATTGCCACAACACCCGAAAAACACAAAAATAAAAGGTAGAACGTCCCTCGGACCGGTGAGAAGGGGTGATACATGGACTTGGACAAACTCAGCTTGATACCTTCTAAGGATGAGCCCTCGGATAGTCTGGGACATGGCTGGCTTTTGTGACAGCTATTAATGATGATGATATAATAGCTCACATATCACTTTTTTTTTATAACAAAGGTGTTTTAAAAAAAGGGGAAGTTGTTTTCTACAGAGTTTCTAATGAATCTACATGATGGCACACTTTTCTGATAAAAATATTCGATAAATACCCATTGGCATTGTGAGTCACGCATTTGCAAAAAAATACGGAAAGCCCATTGATTAGGAACCGATATGGAAATTATAAATGGTCTCAAATTGGGTTATTCAGGTATATTAACCAAGGCCTTCTTTATTTCAGTTTAAATACAAGATTCTTTGTCTATACTACAGGGTACCATCAAGTGCAGTCCTCTGTATAAACATACCACTTGTTAAAGTTGCACGTTGCATTGGTGCAACATTCTTTTTCCATATAGCCGGCAGGCAAAGGCCACAATTCATACCTGGAACCTAGGCGTTAAATTTGTCCAGCACGTACAGCACGAATAGGGATAAAATGGGGGTACAGCCAGAACCCAGTACCTCCCTCCTGCAGTGGCAGGACGTGGGCTGGCGTGGGCATTTCAATCAGTACTTGACCGCAGCCTTTTGTCCCGATTTCCCGATGGGTTTCGGTGTATTGTCTAGGTACTGTGTACGTGCAACGTGTGCAACCTCGCAATGGGAGGGCCAGGCTGTGGCCCGACATGTCCTGCTCGCCTACACAAACTATTATTTATTGTTCCTTGCTCCTTATATTTTCTTGCCATTTTGCTTCTGAGGGCGTTGGCAATTAGCGTTGGCATTAAACGCTTATTAATGAGCCCGACTCGAGCTTCATGGCCCGAAGGCTCCAAGAGATCTATAAATCTTCCAACGCGCTTTCAGAGATCCTGCGATAAGGCCAGAGTTAACTCTAGCCAGGGGGCGTGGTTGGGCGAATCAGATTTATGCGGATATTAGAAAATACTCGTTACCTTTCCATGTAACTCCTCCTTGTACATTTTTCATTATTCCCATTCCGATGCCTGTTAACTGCTATTGCGCAGCATTGTTCTTGAGATATTTCCATTTGAATGCATTTTCCCCCGGTGCCTAGTGCCTGGTGCATTTGGCAAATGTTGTCACGATTGTAAGTGTCACATAAATAACCCAACCAGCCACCCCTTTCGGTCCTAGGGATGGACTGACAAGCCGTGAGGAATCCCAGCAGGAGGAGGATAAGCAGGCAATTCTGAGCCGACTTTGACACCTCTCTTTGAAAATGTGCCGCATGGCTTTTCCATGTTCTGAGTTCTAGGTTTCCTACGGTTCGCCTGTTTCTCAGGCTTGGCTGGAGCTCGAGTCGCAACTGCGTGATGCATGAGATCGTGTTATGCAACTGGACAGGCTGCTAGAAGTCAGCAGGCAGGGGTGACAATATGCCAATGCCTATTCTTACAGCTGGAAAATATTAGTTTGAGGTCTAAGAAACAAGTTTTACATACGTTTATAGTCCACTTCCATACGCTTATAGTCAGAAGGTGTGGCAAACAGAAACTTCGATTTTAATGCTGATTTTTGGAGAATCTATCTACCTATCGTTTAAGGTATTCCGCTCAAGAATTCGATGGTTATTGGAGAAGATATGGTCTTCGCTGGGAGCCATATAGTGGCTCCACGCATTTTTGTGGATTTTTGTATTTTTTTGCAAAAAATCTAAAAAATAATATGGTCTTATATTTTGATGCAGATTTATGGAGAATCGATCTACGAATTGTAAAAAGTCTTCTTTTTAAGAATCTGAGGATTATGGGTAAATATATGTGAGTCCTACTCTCAAGAACTATTTCAACAAATGCATTTTAAATATTGATGTAATTTATTGCTGCTAAAATCCAACAAAATCTTTTCCCAGCAAAGTACGGCAATTGCCTACCAAAGTACTTGAGTTGTTTGTTTGGACAAGCAAACATGAACCAGGAATAAATATAAATAAACAAGCCGTGTATGCCAAGAATGGATGAGCGGAGATTACCTCGATGGGCCTAATCCCCCAGAAATTGCTTATCAACTCCGCGTAGAGACATACTCATCTTCTAAATGACCCGTTGTTGGCCATTTGGCTAAGTACATTGCAATGAAAATTGCTGCTGGTTCTGCAATTTTCTGCCTCTTCCCCCGTCCCGCCAAATCTCTGGCCCGCACTCTTTTTTAATTGAATAAACACAGCGGTTAGTGTGTTTACATTTTGAGTGCATCCATTGGCTACGTGCAACGTGCAACAGTTGCAGCAGCTGCTGCCGGCGACATGGCCACCGATCAACTCTAATTAGCGGCAACCAGTTGAGGAGACAAGAGCAACAAACGACGGAAGCGGTCAATTATAAATGCCACTCGAGGCTGGAGAGGAATAAGGGGGGAAGTCTGTTGCCAGTCCAAGTTCCAAGTCCTGTCCAAGTGTCAGAAATATTGTCAAAGTCTCTACTCAAGTCACACTTTATGATTTTATCGATGAAACAGTTGAACTTCTATAAAGTGAATATTTTTAATAACTAAAAAGTTTCTAAAAGGACTATTTAACCTGAAATCATAAAAATAAAGCTATCCTGGGAAATAAAAAAGGGATATGGAGCTATTAAAAGGACGTCCCATAAATCCGAAGGCAGTTTCTCTTATAAGAAATATTCTCTAGCATACTTTTAGGCACTGATATGAAAACTATTCCATCTTTAGTTTGAAAATTCTTAAATAGTTTTCTATTCTGAATTCCTATATTCATCATATTCTGGTAACTAGAGTCTAGTATCTTTAGTTATATTTATTTCAATTTATAAAAGCTTCACTGTGGCAGCATGTTGCACTGGATTAATTTGCATATTTGCCCCCTGGCCATCGGCCAACTGGCTGGCCAGCTTCCACTCCACTCACTGACGTTGAATGCCCATCAGTATCACGATTTTTATGCCGCCCGTGCGTGATACGCTTTTCCTTATCGAAGCCACAGTGTGATTTATATCAGTCATAAATATATTTGCAATATCGTATCCAAATATGAGGCGTGACATGAGTGCTTCGGCCCATCGATCGATGGTTAGTAATGCTTATAAAGTTGATTGTTTCGGCCGTTTATCGGACCTCTTTGCCATATGGTTGCTTCTGCTGTTGGCTGAGCACACACCCAGTCCCCAGGTATTCCCGTTCCCGCTTTTCCGACCGCTCCAATTCACTTGCACGCTCCTGCGCCGTATGTGTCATGTAGCGCTGGTGCCAATCGCGATTCTGGGCCTGAAAACAAAGAAATATATGTATGGGTTAAAAAAACCATAAAGTCCGGACTCCGGAGAGATGATCTCAGCCTACTCGGGCACAATGCTTTTGCATGAGTTCCTCGTAAATTTGTCGATCCTCGAGTATGTTGTAAAGCACATCCTCCCTCATGTTATCCCTTGTCTTTGTGGCATTGATTTGAAGATTCTGTTTGATTTGGTCCTGCAAGTCAGTCAGTTGTTTCCGCCTCTTGTCCTTATCTTTTTTTAGTTCCTGCTTTTTCTTTAGGACATCCATTTCGGCGGCAACTTCAAGGCTAAAACAGAGAGCTGATGTCATAGTTAGTTTTTAATAATAATTAGTCACAACTTACGCCGCAGCACACTCTCTTTGTTCGCTTAATACTTCCTTGGCAAACTGTTCCTTTTTCTCCCGATCTCTGTCCATATTTTGAGCCTGTGATGAAGCTGAGCCATTCTTCTATTTGATGAAGCTGAGCCTGCTTGGTTTCCAAAAGTATCTCCTTGGTTTGCATGTGGCGATGGGCTTCAGAGTTTTCGCTGTAAAATCAGAACTTATAAATAAAATTTTCAAAATTTTTGAGGAATTTTTTTACATTTCCCTCTGCTGCTTTTTGACTTTAACCAGCTCCCTCTCAGCTTCTTCTCGTTTTAAACGCTCCATTTCAATCCACTCGTGACGTCTCCTCTCCGCTTCATCGGCACGTTCCTGGAGAAGCTCTGCTATCTCCTCATCCTCCCGTAAGGCTTCCGTCTGGAGCAGCAAGCTTAGACTAAAGCGACGTTTATCCACCTCCTGGTACCACTCCCGCATTTTACGCGCCACCTGGAAATCTATTTGAGACTTGAGGTTGCGGCGATCCGTACGACTTAAAAATTCCGACACTTCCATGGCTCTATTCTTCTAAAATAGTTGCTAAAAAGTTGTTTTTATGTTTTCGTTACCAAGAAACAATAAGCAACAAGAAAAAATACATATAACAACAGAAACAATTCTATGGCAACAGTTTAAGTATAGCTTAAATATAATTAAACATTTGAATGGAAATAGTTCTTATTAAGAGCACTTCATATTTCTCTTATAAATAGAATTTAAAAATATTTTAGAACATTTTTAGTACTCAAACTAACACTTTTAACGGTATTAAATACCAGAAATTTGGTATTTAAATATGTTAGTGTTGTACAACGACCAAAAGTAGGCCATTTCTTTTTTGAAAAATGTATCTGAAGATAAAAAATGTATCTAAACAAAAAAACTAGCTTAGATAAAGATTAAATAAGCAACAAGTTTTTATATTTTCTTACAACTAAAATTGTTTTTTATTTATAGGTTTAAGGTTTAGTTCCACACTAAAAACTAAAATGACAAAATAGCATTTTATTTGCAAAAACTAGCTGATAAAAGTTTTTTAATTAGAAAATTGTTTATATTTTAAAATCTAAAAGATAAATCATAGTTAAATGTCCTTTTTCTTGCTACAGCTTCAGTTCCAATACCAGTTCCTTATTGGAATGCTTATTGGAAATTGGTATTTTCCAACTAGCCGCAATCCGGTCACACCGTCTGTGTTTGTTCGCGCTGTCATCATCGGTCCGCCTCTGCTCCACTCCGCCGTAGAAAAGCAAAAGCCCAACCGTCTGTTTCTAGCACGCCAGCGTGTGTTTTCGCTCGCCGTCCGCCCGGAGTTGGCGGTATTTTATTGACAACAGCGCCCAGCCGTTCAAAGGTGCCTGCGAACCGTGCAACAAGTGGCTATTACAAGCTTCTTACGAGCGTTTTGAGAGTGCCTTACACCCACACCACTGCAAGCTCAGAGCCTGTCTACAACTACCTGACCCCCAGTCGTCAGTCGCCAGTCGGTGTGTGCGTGAGCGGTTACAACAAAAGCAATAAAAACAAATATTAACTGCTTTCGTCGCAGTTTCTGCGAGAGTGTGTTGTTGGCTAATTGCGCCGAAAAAAATGTTAAGCGAGCTAATTAATTAATGCATAATTCAATTACCGCCAGCCTTGAGTGCAAGTGTGACCGCGACAGCAATACATATTGTATTTGCAGATAAGTGTCTGAGACTGAGAGGTCTGATCGAGATCTGGGTTGGATCGGATAGGATCGGGTCTGTTCCCAACGAGAAATCCCCAACGCGAGGATCTGTATCGTGTATGTGTCAAATTATAAATATAGATTAAAATTGCACTTAAATAAATAAGAAAACAGATCAGCGGGTGATTAACTGAAAGGTAATTATAACTGACATTTCGCGGCCGCTCTTTTTTTTCGCCATTTTCGCTAGCATTTCTCCCACTCTCTCCATCTCTGTCTTTCGCCCACCGTGCTTTGCATATTTTGAGAGTGTCTTTCGTTTTTTTTGCGTGTTTTCTCTACATCGTTGCAAGATATTATTTTCTTTCGTTTGCTGGGCTTCTTTTATTGTTTTTTGTTTTTTTTTTTTGTTGGCAGATTGTTACCTTTCTTCAGGTAATATCATCTTGCACTTGTCTCTCAAGCTGATGCCATCTCTTTCACCCACCGACGGCGGTCTAATAAGACTGAAGTTTCTTGTTTTGCCACCAATACCACTGCCCAATCGAAGACACACACACACATACACATGCTGAGAGAGCTACCTGTAAGACCTGTACACTCACACTGTCACACGTGGGCACTAATGGAATGCGCCGTTCCCAATACATGTTTGTTGTCAGCCGAACGGTATTTGCTTATCAATAGAACCCCCAACACAGCCACAGACAGAGACACAGACGCAACGAAAGTTCTTATTGACTTTCTTACTTTCCTGTTGGATAATGAGTGGCAAGTTCTGTTTAGGGAAATTAATAGAGAATCTGTTTTTCGTTGTCAGTCAACACATATGGATGTATGTACCTCTCTGGTGGAGTGTTTCTTTGGCTGATGGCATTTTCCATTTCCGTTGCACATCAACTTTTTTTTTTTTTCATTTTTGCACATTTCTGTGTCACTCACCTGTTCTGCAGCGCTGGCACTCTTTTTCACATGCCAACCGGCAGCAGCAGCAGCAACGACAGCAACAAACAAATTAAAACATGTTATATATAGCCAAGTTGGAGATGCCAAGTTTTGATCGTTTGTGCTGATGCTTTCCCACCGAATTCCAACCAAATCCCAACCAAATCCCATTGTCTTAACTATCTAATCCCAGACCCAATCCCTTTGATGAACAATCGCAGATAAAAAATGGCAATTTAAGACAAAAAGTGTATTTATCTCTTGAAATCCTGCATCCATCCTGTATTAGTCCCCAAAAAATCCCAGCTGGCAACACTGATGCCCGATGCCAATTCGCCGCAGCGTAGACTCCTGAACTCGCCGCAGTCAGCTGACCGAATTCGCCTGTGTTTATGTTATGGGGGTTGTGGGCGCAGGCACGGCAGAGCAGCGCATTTGTTGTCGAGAGCTCCAGCAGCTAGCAAGGATACGGATATGTCGGATGCGGGATAAGCAGCCTTAGCTAGCGTCTTACTCCTTCGTACGTGCTTTCTCAATTATTCAAGAGACCTAACCGAGTTTATGGCTCTGCAACCGTTGCATCGCCCACGCCCCCCTTTGCCAATTTCTTGAAAAAAAAAAAAACAAAAACAATAACATAAAACAAGTGTCGGGCTAAAATAGAGACAGAAAATGAGAGAGAAAGACTGGTGAGAGAGAGAGTGCGGCAAGTGGCAAAGTGCAAATGTATTAAATAAATAAAAGCTGAGGAGAAACGAAACTTAACTGACTAATATGTGTCTGCGGTCTTGCTAGTTTCTGCCTTTGTCGACTGCCGCTTTTGGCCAGCTTTCTTGCCATTTCGCATTGCATAAGTGTTGGCCTTTTCTCCTTCTCCCTCCACTCACGCCCTTTCTTCACTCACAGTCTCCTCTTATTTTTTTTTTTTTCCAGATAAGCAAGCCAACGTGACGTATTTCGAGTGGATTAATAATTGAGCAGATAGCCAGGGCGATAGGTATATCCACATACGGAGCAACAATGGAGTCCATGGAGTACGAGATGGCACGCAACATGACGTTGCTCTTCTTCCTGGAGCGGCTGCTGGACAAGGGGGAGCCACGCACCGTTCACGATCTCTCCTGCCAGTTTGGGAACAAGGAGTTCACCAAGGAGATGCGCCAAATAGCCGGTGGCAGTCAGTCGGGTGAGTGCTATACTCTATTAGCTTTAATATCTTTCATCTCTAAAACCCCATCCTGGCAAAACTGGTCTGTAAATATGATTCCATTCAATCACCTCGCATTTAAAATGTCGTTGGGCGAGCCTGGGAAATTCGAAACGTGTGCGGTGGAAAGCAATACTGGACTCTTGTTCGGTTATGCGAACATATTTGTGCACCTGCGGGTCGATGTTTGTCACAGCCGATGATGATTGTGTTTTCCCCTGTTGTTTCTGTTGTCTGTTGCCTTCGAGTCCAAGTGCACATGTCATTGCCATTGCCATCGCCAGAGGGGCAGCCACATACATACACACAACACAACCACCTCCTCTGGCATCCATTTTCATCTTCGATGTCAGTGGAAGCTGGCTGCGCCAATGCCAAAACCACAAAAACAAGCCAAGGGTCTATACACCATTTCATTGCAGACGTCGAGCTTGCAATCGATAGTGCCTCCCATCCTACATATACATATATATATATTTTTTTTTTTAAGCAATAAGTAGAGCAGTACGTATTATTTTACAAGAAACTCTTCACAAAGCACGTGTTGGACAACTCGCTACTTGAGGAACTCGATGCCGCATTATTTATCAAAATTTATAGTTTATTTTAGTCGTTTAAAAATAGCCACTACAAACAACTTTCGGTTTTTAAAAATAGGTACCACTTAGCACTGGGAGTTGGAGTTGGAAGTTGGGAGCTAGGAGCTGGGACCTGGGAAGGTGCAATGCACTTTCCCTTTGCCGGAAGATACATGTGAAGACATTTGTTTGATGTTCTCCCAAGAAAAGGGTACTGGGCTGAAACAGGAAATGGCAAACATTTGTTTACATCACTCCCTTGCGGCTCATCAGAAAATCATTTAAAAAACGATAAACTATGAAAGTGTTGGCATATGTTTTCATTCGAAAGAGTATACTTTCTCGATAACAACTCACTTGCTCTTGACCCATAAAAATTCTTTGAAAATTTGTCACAGACACTGCATTTGTTCACACTTCATGACTGCTCACTAATTGCAATTTTAAAAACAAACGTTTAACAAATTGTTTATCGCATTTGTTGATTTTACACAGATTTGCGTGACTGTCCCGGCAAGACAAATACATAATTTACCGCCAAAACCCGCCGGCTTTAAGAGCCTTTAAGTTTTGGCCAAGAACGCAATAGTCAAAGGAATATCCGCCAAGCACGAAAATCAGAGTCGGGACTTTGGAGAAATGTCGGGCCTAATGGGAAATGTCAAGGTTTCGGGCTTATAAATAGAAAGGCGTCAGATATCCCCGGTTAGATTATCGGGTGACTCTCCAGAAAGGGTGCTCAGTGGTCAGCGAACTACAGAACACCCCCAGACCTCAGCCCACTTTATGGTACTCCCCTGGGCTGACCTAAAATCCTATAAGCATATTTTATGCTGCTTCAATTTTTGTCAACGTGTTGTTTGCTCAACTTATAAACCGTTAAAGCCGCCGGGGTGGCTTCGGTACCCTGGTGAGTGGGTGTCCCTCCTCCTGACACAATAAACCCATCGTTGTCGCCCATTAGGTGGTTTTTTTGGCCAACAAAATGGGGTTTGATGGTAGTGATGGTGGTTGGAGCGGAAACTTTGTAATAGAAAAGCGTCGATTACGTGACAAAAATGTTCAATTGAATTTCAATAAAATAGCATGTTATTCCGGGGACTAGAGACTGGAGACTCGACTCCATATCCATTTG